AAATGTCACTGTCAAACAACTAAACACAACTGTCATTGTCAAGTATCCTCTTGATGGACACACTTTATTTTTTCTAGATATCTATGTGTTTATCTTTTCTAGATATCTATGAATAATATGTTTTCGATGTGTATCAAACATCTCTAACGCACCAGACCGAATAGTCGCGTCGTTAGTGTTTTACTTTTGCCCTTTTTTCTGGGTGTCGAATTTTCCGTAGTGACGCCACTGGATTCTGGCGGACGGTCGTTGACTACTGCGGGCGCAGGTTGATGATACGGTAAATCACCCTCAGAGCGTTCAAAAAGCACTCTGGTCAAAGTTTACAGAATCTCTTGTGTTCCAATCCTGTTCAAATTTATTAGATTACTATTAGATATAAGTTGTTTTTTTCACGATTTTAACAAAATGAAAAAGAAAAAACAGTAACGCCTCGCCAACACGTAACGTTTTATCTGTCAGTCATGCCTGTTCAGTTATTATGACGTATCCTCTAAAACCTTGTATGTAGACGAAAATACGGACGTTTTATTTGAACTTAATTACGACGGAAGACCGTATATACAGGGCGTGTCTTCAATAATTTGCAAAGCAAATATTTTCAGGGGTGGTAGATCTCGATAAAGGAAACATTTTTTCTTTTTACCATTTTTCAAAAAAGTCCAAAAAATAACCGAGTTATTTTATTTTGAAAATTTCTAAAAAATAGTACTTATATTGTTCTACTAGGAGTAAAAATGACACTTCTTGTGACAAGGCTGTACGTTTGATATACAGGCAAGCCACAAAAATGCATTTTTACTCCGAATAGAACATGCTATTTTTTTTCAAACGCCACAAATAATCTTTTAAACAATTTCAAACGTTCCAAATAATATAAAAAAAAATTAAAAGTAATATCTTGTATGTAATTATAATGTATATCGAGAAATTATGGTTACGCTCGTTGAATTTGACACTTTACGTCAAAAATTAATACTTTTGTGACGTTTTAAAAAAAAATGTTTTTTTGCATAAATTTTGAGAACGACTGGATCTTTTCTAGATTTTCTTTCTTGTAAATTTAATCTACTATAAAGTAATAGTAATATATAAGTAACTATGTATTTTAACTAAAAACTAAAAAAAAAATTCCAAAATCCTTTTCAAAAAATTCTAAATTTTCTAAAAATGTTTCGCGAAAAAAACCTCATAATCGTGTTTCTGGGATCGAAATATACTACCCGTAAAAATATTTGCATTTATTATAGACTCGCCCTGTAGTTGGTTTTATAACAAAACTGTCGTTTTATCTACACTGAAAAACTTATAAGTAAATATTTCTAAGGATGATCCCAGGATGTGTTTTTTTTTGGGTGAAAAATAAATTGAAAAGTAAATTTTGAAATTAGTTTTAAATTTTCTGTTATAATATAATCTGTATTGTGTTGACGACACTATATTGGATTTGAGAACTCGTGAGAATTTTTTGAAAAAAAAACGGAAAATTTTGACCCTCTTCGTGGGAAATTCTATTTCAGAAAGTTGGCAACACTACTGACAGGTAAAACGGTATGTACCTTTGAATAAGAAGACTAAGGAAGGAGCATATCAAAAATCTTAGGTACACCGCGATGGGCCTCAAATATGGCCGACTTAAATTCCGGTTTATCAGTGTCGTTCTAATTTTATTTAAAAAATGTAAAACTATGATGTAGGGTAGACGTGGGGTAGACCCAATAGTTTGTTGTTTTATTTTACGTTGTGAATAAATGTTGGTAGTTATTAGAATTTGTTATAAAAATATATAATTCTAATAAAAATAGATAAGTTATAATAAGTATTTATTAACACAAACATCCGATACGCTACTGAAGCAGGTAAGTCAAATTAACGTATCTAAATTCTTTGACATCTAATCTTTGACAAGCAATAAATAAAAGCTAAAATGCAAGAAAAATATATAATTTAGTTAATTTAAGTGAATTTCATAAATGATCGGTTTACTACACGTATGTATATTATATAGTCACTTACTAGCGAAAAGTTGTTCCATTATTTCACTCAATTTTTGCCGAGAGCTACCGCACGCTACACAACCAACTATTTTAGAGTCTTTTGATAAATCGCGATAGTGTCACTGTTAATTTAAGTTCTGCCACAATTTCCATCTAGATTTACTACCTTTATACAACTATCAGTAGTAGAATAAATAATAAATAACATAAAATAAGCTCCGTAAAGACTGACAAATCCACAAAATTTCAAATCAAATTCAAATTTGTCAAATGAATCGTCAAACAGAACTGTCAAGGATCCCCACCCTAGAGAGCTTTTATGGTGCCTTTTCCGCCCACCATGCATGAATACATGGATAGCATTATGCTCCTTCCTTAGTCTTCTTATTCAAAGTTATGTACATACAGGGCTAACGTCCATACTGGTGTTTTAACTGACAGGCAAAACGTATTAAAGAAAAAAAAACTTTTTGTGTAGATTTTGTTTGTTATTATAAAACGAAAGACAATCATTCAATATGAACTGGTATAGGAAAGGTCGTTGATATTCCGAATTTAGAATTGTTTTGGCAGGTTTTTTCTTTTCAATTCACGAACCTGTCACATGTTTTGCCATCGTTTTGGAAGTGACCTAACGCAATGTCAATGACACCGGGAGATCGAACGAAAAAAAAAATAACCAGTCATCGTTCCTTGTTTATCTACACATCTAACGAACCAAATTAACTTGTAGATACGTGGAATCCTTACGTAATGTACAGGGTGTTTGAAGAGCTTTTTTTTACCTGGTTATTTGTAAGACTAGTTTGATATTTTGTCATCGTGATAACTGTATTGGTTTTATCTATTTTAATGTGTGTATAATCGTGAGGTTTGTCTATAAATATTGAGAAAGGTTTTGGAATTAAAAAAAAGCGGCGAAAAGTTTAAAAAAAGTACTGCCGTTTCTTGCTTCTCAACCTGAAGAATACTGTGTAGAAAAGTAGAACAAAAAGAACTGAAAACGTGGCGAGGCATATTTAGCAGCACACTACACGGGATACAAAGTAATCTGGGTCACAGTTTCCAATTACTTTTCTCTTACAACCTCCTCGAAATTATCTTATTTGTCTTCGGGTTTTATTTGAACTTTTATTGTTTTTGAAATAGTACATTTATAATTTTAAAAGGAACAGAGAAAAATACTAAAACACTGAAATCGTTGTTACTAATAATTTTTAACTATAAGTGTAAATTCGATTTGCTAGGTCATTTTTGTTTTTTGAAAAATTGGAGTAAAAATCGAGGTAAAAATCTTATTTTTATGTGAAGAATCGCTCCACGAGAGATGGCACATATTTTTTGAAACGCCCCGTATATTGATTCGAAATACAGCCATGGCGGTATATAAACGATCTAGAAATTAAGTAAGATAATATTTGATTTCAATAATTGATTGAAAACTATAGGTTCGAATTTATTCAACATCTGTTGTATTTTACATCACTATTGATTTATTGTATGTCACCTTTTAAAGCACCGTCTACACGTTACTTTTTACTGTCGTTTTCCCTGCATCGAAAAAATAAGTAGAAAATTTGCAAAAAAAACAACTACTTTAATAGGCAAGAACGGCACTTTTTTATTTTTATGATGCGCCAGAAAACTCAAAAAGGCATTTATTTCAGTTGTACTGCATAAGACCATCGAATTGATAAAAGCTCGGGAAATACTTTCATTGTATACGCTAGTTTTTTTAATCATACTTACCTGACAGGTAAAACGTTATGTGTGGACGGGGCTTCAGTGATATTATTATGGCAATCTTGTTTATGTAAGATTTTTGCACAACTGTGCTACTGTATCTATACTGGGGATAGTATACAGGGTGGTCCAAACTGTATTCCGGAAACTTCGGCAGATAAAAATAAGTCAAAAAGTTCGTATGAATATATGTCCTAAGATGACTTAGTTTCGAAGATACAGGGTGAAGAAGTTTCATTTTTATTTCGATTTTTTCCAAATATTATCTGAATTAACGGCAATATTTAGATGAAAATTAATGTTTGGGAGTTTTTTGACAATGAGAAATTTGATTTTGATGTCAATATGACTCCTATTTGTAGGGAGCGCCACCTACATGTGTTTTAACTGTTTTAAAGAGTAATAACTTTTTGCCCGTACCTTTATAAAACTACTGAGTGAAAAAATATACATTTCCGTGACTTTTTACTAAGGACTTTTTCCGGAAAAATCGCTACGAGCAACCGTTCTCAAGATATTTAGAACGGAAATAGTCAATACATGTCATTATTGACAAAAAATAAACACTTTGAGTAGATATAGTTATTTGACTGAAATAATAACAAATTTGGGAAATTTTTATTTTTTTATATAAATCAGAAATTTTCCTGCAAAAAAATGATGATAAAACAGTTTGTGTTAAACTTTTGGAAAAAAACCTTTCAAATTTATGATTTCAGTGTAATAACTATTATTACTACTACTACTAACTTATGAGTAGGCTAGGAACTTACTACTAATTTATGTCAACGATGACAGGTACTGATAATTTCGATTAATATCTCGAGAACCATTACTCGTAGCGATTTTTACCAAGAGACCTTTTTTAGGTAAAAAACGTCGTAAATGAATATTTTTTTACTCAGTAGTTTTATATAGGTACGGACGAAAAGTTATTTTTATTATTCACACCATTTAAAAATTATGTAGCTGGCGCCCTCTACAAGTAGGAGTCATACTGACACTAAAATCCAATTTATCATGTCAAAAATACTTCTGGATACCAATTTTCATCCAAATATTGACGTTACTTCATAAATTATTTGGAAAAAATAAAAATAAAACTTCTACACCCTGTATCTCCGAAACTAAGCAATTTAGGACATGCATTATCTACAGAATATCTACAGTTCGGGGACCACCCTATATAATAGAATTTATGGAGACAATAATTACAGATTAGGTCCAAGTTGTTTTAACAGATATTCTCTATTGTTACAGGATATGGTAATTCGCACAGAGACGCTGCCAGTATCCAGGCGACGCACCCGATACCAGCGGCGTGCGGATTGTACTATTTCGAGGTAAAAATTGTCAGCAAAGGCAGGGATGGATACATGGGGATCGGACTGTCTGCTCAGGGAGTCAATCTGAACCGGTTGCCAGGTACAATCTACATTTTATAAACATTTTTGGGACGCCGTGTATAAACGCGTGGGACATAAACGTTACGAATCTGCAGGAAAACTTTCATTTTGCATCGTAAAACGCCTAGATTATTCAAATCAGATATGATAAATTGAAATTGAAGAGTAATAAACAACGTTTTTACGGGATAATTGTGGAAAATTATAATTTACAAACGATACTTCATTTCAATCAATTTTAAATTAATAACTGTTGTTTTTGTTAACGAATTTATCAACTTTCATTTTCTGTCTAGATTACGACATACTCTTGTTATGGTAGATTTGTGTGATGGTTTGTTAGTGACTGGTTCTTTTGCAAATGAGTTTATAAATAAAAAAAATTGAGTGTGCACTATGTGCGCATTATCGAAGTGAAACTTACTAACAGCTATTAAATTGAAGGATATAATTTTTTTTTGTCAATTCTTATAAACTTGAGTTAACATAAAACCGTATACTATTCTAGGTTTATAAATTTTTATGTTTTTTTAATTTTTATCAAAAAACGATAATTTTATCACCCGGCCGGATAGCCCTGTCAGATGTGGCCATTAAACGAAAATACTACTATATCTACCGGGTGCGTCTCAAAAGTGGCTCACTCCTATAACTTTTTTATTTTTTCGGATAAAAAAAAACGAGATTTGGTATGTTAATATATGACATAAATTAGGATTTATTGACATATTCAATTGTCTTTGGACACTTCCGGTTTTACCGGAAATGAATACAACTTTTGATTTTTAAATGACACCCCCGGTATTTTTTTACTTTATTCGATAGAAAATGACTCTCCGAATAGAATGACATATTACATGTCAACTTTTGACATTTTCGCATATGGTTTATTTGAAATTATAACATGCGGTTCATAACGACAATTTGACTCGAAATACCAAGTGTGCTAATGAGCCATCCTCATTCCATTTGAAAAAATTGAGATATGATTAAAAATACGATTTGGACATCTTTGAACTGACCAGGACAAGACACTAATAACATTAGACGATCAAATCTGTTTTTCCAAGGTTTCTTGATTAAAAGTTACTGTTTTTAACACAATCATGGCACTCTAGATTGAAATTTAAAATACAATTTTGTTTTAAGCGAAAATGTCAAAAGTTGACATATGATATGTCATTCGATTCGGAGTGTGATTTTCTATCGAATAAAGTAAAAAAATACCGAGGAAAAACGAGAGTGCCATTTAGAAATCAAAAGTTGTAGTTATTTTCGGTGAAACAGGAAGTGACCGAAAATAATTGAATACATCAATCAATCCTAATTTATGTCATATACTAACATACCAAATCTCGTTTTTTTATTCGAAAAAATAAAAAAGTGATAGGGGTGAGCCACTTGAGACGTCACGTACCCGGTATATCTCTGACTACTACCAACTGCTACTAACCAACACTTTGTTTTGTGTGGTCTGTGGTCTGTTTTTGTTTAAATATTTTGTTCATTATTCATGTTAGGGATTTATTTTTAAATTAATGTTAATCGTTAGGCAACCAGGAAACTCATAAGGTTTCTTTTGCATAACCAAAATTATCACTCTTAATTTCACATAACCAAATTGTCACTCTACATCGCTGTCTTTTTTAGACAGATCTCACGTGTCTTGTCATTATTCAATTCATTATTCGAATTCTCAGAATGTTTTATCTTAAAATAAAATTTTAATCAATCACAATTGTTTATCTCCATCATTTACCGGATTAATAATACAGAAATTACAGTTCAATTACGAACAATTCATTATTTATAGTGATTTACAGTAGTTTTATTAAATTATACGAATATTCTCGTTGATTTATTGGTTTGAAAGAAATATTACAGTGTCCTCCAATGAAAATGCTTCAAACTTCATGAAAATGCATTCACTTCAAAAAGTATTTGGAAAACGATATAAAATAACTATCCGTTCTAGGTTGGGACAAGCAATCGTACGGCTATCATGGTGACGATGGTCACTCGTTCTGCTCGTCGGGAACGGGCCAGCCCTACGGACCTACCTTCACCACCGATGACGTAATCGGTTGCGGGGTCAACCTCATCGACAACACGTGCTTCTACACGAAGAACGGCCATCATCTAGGCACTGCCTTCTACGATTTACCTGTAAGTACTATTATTAGTCTTTAAATGTCATATTAAATAATGATAAAACATTTTTTTTCAAACGTTACAAGTCAATGAAAGATGAGCTTCTCATTGTAAGCAAGATAGTCTTACAATTGTTTAATTTAAAAGTAAATTTAAAATTTTGATTCGAAAGTCGATACCGAAATTATGTATCGAACTTTAAAGTATCGATACTATCGCACATCCCTAATTGAACCATGAATAAGGTGTGTTTTATCAGCTGCGGAACAAAAGAAGAAACCTTTGTACGACTCTAGTGACTATATGGATTAGTAATTACGTGACACACCTCAATTATGTCCCAAAGGACTTTGCCAGAATTTAAAAGGCTTTTTGACTAATAGAAACTAATAATACAGAGTTAATTTTATTTCGAGTTTTATATTATAGCTATGCTTAAAAATAACGTTATGGTTACTAATACATTTAAGTTTATCTATATCTATCTTTTTTAACTTGCTTTTCTCTATACCGGGCGTTTCTCAAAAGTGGCTCACCCCTATAACATTTTTCAGATAAAAAAACGAGATTTGGTATATTAGTATAAGACATAAATTAGGATTGATTGACGTATTCAATTGTTTTCGGTCACTTCCTGTTTCACCGGAAATGACCCGGAAAATGCACCATCGGTAAAACAATGCTTGTTCAAAATATGCTAACGAGCCACCCTCTTCCTTTTGGAAATTTGAGTTATGATTAAAAATACGATTTGGGCATCTTTTAACCCGCCATGCCAGGACAAGACACGAAAAATATTAGACAATCAAATATATTTTCTCAAGGCTCCTTGATTAAAAATTAGTGTTTTTAACACAACCATGGCACTCTAGATTGAAATTTAAAATACAGTAGATGACATATGACGTCATTCTATTCAGAGTGTAATTTTCTATCAAATGAAGTAAAGAAATATCGAGGGTGCAATTTAAGAAACAAAATTTGTAGTCATTTCCGGTGAAACAGGAAGTGACCGAAATCAATTGAATACGTCAATCAATCCTAATTTATGTCATATACTAACGTACCAAATCTCGTTTATTTATGTGAAAAAATTAAAAATATATAAGGGTAAGCCATTTTTAAGAAACATCCGGTATAGCTTGTCGTATACATACCTATATTATTATATTAACGATAGGTTAGAATAATCTATAAAGCAGAAGGAAATAGTGGCCATAAACTAGTTAAGAAACCACAAAAGGATTATCTTGAGGTTGCAATCGATTTTAAATAAAGATCAAATAACCAGAGAAAATAGAAACTTTTCAAATATTAATAAGGTCAAACTTTTGAGAAAATATATTAGCTGTATGACCATATACTTTTTTAAACTTTTTTTTTTTGATATTAGAATTTTACATATTTGTTTTTAATAAAAAAAAAATAGTTGAATGAAAAGTAATGCGAAGATAAATATTTTTATGCATAAAGCCCCGGCTACACGTAAAGTTTTACCTTACGTTTTGCCCGTGAGTTAAAATGTCTTAGCCCACTCTAGACATAACGCTTTAACTGTCAGTTAAAAATACTGGTGAGAGAGATCAGTGATGCCAACTTGTGGGAAATTTCGAGATCCAGAGGGAAAAGGAAACACCGTTTCCGTCGAAATTTTTAAATTTTCAATTAAAAAACATAATATAGTCTGTGAAACGAATAACTTTGAATTTGACAGTTCCCGCGGGCTTTTCTAGTGTTAATTTTATTAGGTTAGCAACTTGCGGCCATGCTGACGCAATGCCGTCTCTAGTAGAACAGCCTCGGAGCGAGATTTATGACGTCACGCTAACATAATTATTCCTTATATTTGACTATGGCTGAAATCGTACTCCATAGTCAATGTAGATAGTTTTAGTGTTAAGAATAATAATTTTAAAAAAATATGTGGTCATCTTTTGACAAGTTTATATTAGTTTATTAATTGCAGTAAACATTATGTGGTTTATTTTATATGCAATTTTTGGATTATATTCGACACTATTTTTTTATATGACACAACACTGATGAAGGCTATAATGTTAGCTGAAACGTTTTTTAAACCAAAAAATAATGAAAACCAAATGAAAACTTAATCAACGTTTTTCCCGAACCTAAATCCCAAGAAAATCAAAAATTTTATAGAATAATTTTACATTATAAAATGACAGCGATCTTTATTTCATAGCCATCGCTGACGCATTTTCTATGATATTGTATTATTTGCAAATATAATTTTTCGAACATTGATACTTGCAAAATTATATGTACATATAAATTTTGTGAATGCAAATAATAATACATCACTATTAGTAGATATTGAATGTTTTTTGTTAAATTTGGTCGATTTTCAAACCTCGAAATTTAAAATATATTTTACATTTTACCCATTATCTTATGTACCTACCTATTCATTATTTGTATATTATAAAACATTTGCTGCATTTGTATGGTTCATAGTTTATTTTCCATTTATTACTATAAATAGGTATATATTATATTTATTAACTGTATATTTCATGTAAACTATATCATTTTTAAAATACAAACCAAAAATACGAGGAATAATTATGTTTTCCCTGTATTCTACAACATCCTACTACAACAATCCGTATCTAATTAGCGTGACGTCATATATCTCGCTCGAGGCTGTTCTATTAGAGACGGCATTGGTCTGATATTTAGAAATGTCAAAAGCTGATGACATTTTACCTTTGACAATTATGCGATTTCGTGTTGATTTTTGCAAGAAGAGGAAGAACTGTCACTTGTTTTATTATTTTCCTTTTCTATTTCACGAAAGTAAAAAGAGTTACCTATCTGATTCGTTCAGGCACTCAATTTAAAGAATACTTAAAGAATATCAGTAACTTTTTTGACAGAGGGATTTTTTATTTGTCATGTTGGTAAAAAATAACGGTCAAAATTCAAAGTTATTCATTTTATAGACTATATCTGTAATGTATTGACGACACTATATTGGATTTGAGAACTCGTGTGAATTTTTAGAGAAAAAGGGAAAATATGACCGTCTTCGTGGGAAACGATATTTCAGAAAGTTGGCAACAGTGGATGGGCTATGTTTTAACTGGACAGATAAGGCCAGTGTTGCCAAAATTGACGGATTTCCTTTAATATGAAGGATTTTACAGTAAAATTTCGTCGATTGAAGGGCTGAAGGATTGTTATCCAAAATGAAGACAGTATGAAGGTTTCTGGCCGTTTTGCACTGTACTGTGCACACAGTACGTCTTATGAGGATGAGCAATCCTATTAGTTTACCGTTCTTGAACTAAACCAAAGGTCTTGATGTTAAAAAGAAATAAATAGGCAAACGGAAAACATATCTAATGTCAGCTGATCATAGTGTCTTGCACGATTTTATTATTCTCGGTTCAAGCAGTCATTATAAGCAATGAATTTTTTGACACATACTTTATAATACTGCTGTCGAATATCTATTACAGCATTTTTGATTGTGTTATTTTTTAAGAAAAAGGTTATTTAAATATATCGGTGTCCAAAAATTACCAGAAATAAGTTTTTAAAAAGTTTCTCCTAATTATAAAATAGGGTAAAATAAATACACGAAATTTGGCGATTTTTTACAAGATCTGAATGTTTTTGGGAAAAGTTGAGGGGATATGAAGGGGGAGGGTTTTTAAGGCTTCGTTGATGAAATTCGCTGGAAAATTTCTGGCAACACTACGTAAGACGTACGGTAAAACTTTACGTGTGGACGAAGCTTAACAGATAAAATCAACAATTTAAACTGATATATCACTGTAATAATTGGGAAAATTTCAAAATAGATTCACAAATACATATGTCATACGTATCGTTCTGTATCCATATTTAATTTTATATTTAAAACAGATAAGGTTTTATCGTTAAGATTAATTTAGGTTAGGCAAAGCCGTTGCTGTGTAATGTTCATAGAATTTATGCAGTTTTCGTTTGCAATAGGTATTTGTGTGCCACGAAAAACGCCAGTCGGATACTTTAATTTTACTGCATTTAACATTTTAGTGTTTTCTTAGTATTCAATAGGAATATATTTAGAATTTGTGACGTGTGGTGAATTTAACAAAACAAATCTATGAGTGTTTGTGTGAGTATTCTTTTGAGATTAATTTCTAATTCACAATATAATTATCTACCCAATCAACTAAAGAGTATTACTATTTGTGTATGGTATAAACGCATTTTGATTGAAAGTGGATTTTTTTGGCGTTAAGTATATCAAGTTATTTTGTATAATCAAAGGTCAGTCAAATATTAAGTATAAAAATAGTATTGATACGTAAAAGTTTATATACAGAGTGTCTCATTTGAGTTCCAAATTAATTGAGAGGCTTAGAATAAAAGGGATACAAGTGACTTTTTGTTCTAAATGGACTAAAGTATAGATTTAGACACTTTAGATAGCAATTTATTTAGTATAAAAGAAATTTAAGTAAATTCCACACTCTACACTACTTAGTGCCATTGTAGAATTTACTTAATTTCCTTTTATACTAACATCTCTACAATAATCTCTATCAAAAATATATTGAGCAACGCAAGAATTATCCGCTCTACCATATCTTATCTGAGCCTTATGTTCTTTAATCTAACTAAAACACTGTGCCACTGTAGAATTTCCTTTTATACTAAATAAATTGGTACCTAAAGTATCTGAATCTGTATTTAGGAAAAAGTCACTTGTATCCCTTTTATTCTAAGTGCCTCAATTATTGCGCTTTTCAATAAAGATAGAATCTTGCCCTACCTGATATGGCCTTTTTGAGCATTTTTTGAACAAAGGAAAATTTATCGTATCAATTAATTACCGAGATTAGAGCAATAGGGGAACAGAGAACTGAAAGGAATTGGACCGTTGTCTCTGTTCATACTGTCTTTACATTTATTAATTCTGATGCTCTCATATGCATCTAATTGCCTGTAATTTGAGTCTTGTTTGATTCATTTTAAATTATCAACATCTCTACAATAATCTCTATCAAAAATATATTGAGCAACGCAAGAATTATCCGCTCTACCATATCTTATCTGAGCCTTATGTTCTTTAATCTAACTAAAACTGATCTTCTAGTTTGCCCAACATAACATGTTTTTGATTACAATGTTTACATGAAATTTTACTAATATACAGGGTGTTTCAAAACGAATGCGAAAAACTTCAGGGGGCGATTCCTTGTTCAAAATAAAGGGTAGTTTGCTTCATAAACGTTGGGTCAAAAGTCAACCATTAGGGAGATATCGCGGTACAAAGATGGTGGAAAAATAATGTTCTTATTTTTTATCTTGAAAACGAAAAGAGATAGACTAATGAAATTTTATGGAAGCATTACTGTTATGAAAACACACTTTCAGGTAATTTTTTTACTTTTTTAAAATGAGTGGAAGGGGTTGAAATAAACTACCCCTATCATTCTTGTTAATGAAATTTAAAGAAAAATCAAACACATGCAAAAAAATTAATTTGGTAGTTTGGTTTGTTTAGAAACTTTTTTATCTCTTGTATTTTTTTTATAAAACTCACCAATTTGAAATTAAAAAATAAAATGTAAAGCATTACATGTCAGGACTAAAAGTATTTTTAGATTAAGAATCTAGTGATAATAATGATAATAATAATAATCTAGATAATAACGTATTGCAGTAGGGTAATCTCAAATAAAACAATATTAGAAACATCCTAAAAAGTGACAGCGGCCGACTAGATTTTTTCCTAAAAAAATTACAGCTGCCCACTAGATTCTTTATCTAAAAATGTTTTTTGTCCTGACATGTAATGCTTTACATTTTATTTTTTAATTTCAAATCGGTGAGTTTTATCAAAAAAACACAAGAGATAAAAAAAGTTTCTAAATAAACTAAACTATCAAAATTAATTTTTTTGCATGTGTTTGATAAGATTTTTCTTTAAATTTCATTAACAAGAATGATAGGGGTAGTTTATTTCAACCCCTTCCACTCATTTTAAAAAAGTGAAAAAATTACCAGAAAGTGTGTTTTCATAACAGTAATGATTCCATAAAATGTTATTAGTCTATTTCTTTTCGTTTTCAAGATAAAAAATAAAAACAATATTTTTCCGCCATCTTTGCACCGCGATATCTCCCTAATGGTTGACTTTTGACCCAACGTTTATAAAGCAAACTACCCTTTATTTTGAACAAGGAATCACCCCCTGAAGTTTTTCGCATTTGTTTTGAAACGCCCTGTATATAGGATTTTTTATTTGATAGAGGATATCTCTCTATCAAAGAGTATTGAAATATAGTTTGACGTATCTTTCTCCACTTGAAAAGTCGAATTTGCCGAAAAAATAATCTTATACCTACCTATACGTTTTTTCACGAGGGGTAAATCGCTGGTGTATTTTGGTGTACAAGATGTTGGCATTATTCGTGGTATTAGTACGAAATTATTCGGTATTACTTTCGTATTTTTTTACGGTTTACCCCTCGTTTTCTCATTATTTTATTAACTAATGACGGAGAATATCCATTACTCTGTTTCTGCGGGCCCTTTATGCGTTCTTTTCTTCATTTCTAGCCGAATTTATATCCTACCGTGGGTCTGCAAACGCCCGGCGAGGTGGTCGACGCCAATTTCGGGCAGGAGCCGTTCGTGTTCGACATCGAGGACATGATGCGCGAGCTGCGCTCCAGGACCAAGTTAGAGATCAGGGACTTCCCCACGCCCGGCCTCCAGACCGATTGGCAAGCCATACTCAACAAGTAAGCATAATTGTAAATGGAACTATCCATAAAATGCTATTACAAATAATTGTAAGATCTCATGTAAAATCGAGTTAAAAGTAGGTTCGTTCCAAGATAGCTGAGAACCGTTCTTAGTTACGCTTATGCGCAGTAGAGAAAATGCGGTCCAACAAGAAGTTTTTTATTTGTTTGTACACTTAGTTAATACAGTTATTTTTTTAATGTTCTTAGTTCTTTTAGTGTTACTAATATTTATTAAAACCAAGCCTGTATCATTACATTTTAACATTTTTTTTATATATAAATATAATTTTAATATAGAGTTGTAATCAATGGCGATATGAAATTACGACAATAGCCACTAAAGCCACCTGGTGATATTAAAACTGAAACAGTTTCACTTGAAATCAGTTTATTATACAAGAGTTTAATGTTATTTTTTTTTCAGGATGGTTTCCACCTACCTCATCCATCACGGGTACTGCAACACGGCGGAAGCCTTTGCTCAGATCACCAATCAGCCCTTCACAGAAGACATACTTTCAATCAAGAATCGACAAAGTAAGTCCTTTTATTTATTGTTTTTTAATTTGTATTAATATGTATAATTTTATAGAAAATAATATGTCCATACTTTTTTATATCTGAGATATTTTAAAAATAGCAGAGAACAGTCTTTGCTCTACACGAACAATCAGCATACGGTAGCCATTGCATGTTGTTCTTTAGAAGAAAAAAAAAACTTTTAACTTTTTTTGGAATATAATTAAATTCCGTGAATTAAATATCTCTGTTGATTTGTGCATTTTAGAAATTCAAAAGCTCGTTTTATCGGGTCGTATGGGAGAGGCCATCGACAAGACCACCAAACTGTATCCGGGATTGTTGGAAAATAATCAGAATTTGATGTTTATGCTGAAGGTAAGGTGATAAACCCTATGGTAGAATATAAATATAGTGACACTTTAATAATAATATGTACAGGGTGGGTCAAATTCGACGCTTCTAAATGGAAACACCCTTTTCTATAGGAGATAGACGAAAACAAATATCGGTGTCTGGAGCTCAATTTTCATCAAAAATATGATGGTAAAAACCGCACAACAATATCTGTTACCGTTTCGGAGTTATAGTCTGTAAAACGAATAACTTTGAATTTGACAGTTCCCGCGGGCTTTTCTGGTGTTAATTTTATTAGGTTAGCAACTTGCGGCCATGCTGACGCAATGCCGTCTCTAATAGAACAGCTTAGGAACGAGATTTATGACGTCACACTAGTTAGATACTACAGATTAATAACTATGTTGTAGAATACATGGAAAACATAATTATTCCTCGATTTGTTGGTTTGTATTTTAAAAATGATATAGTTTACATAAAATATACATAATATACAGTTAATAAATACAATATATATATATATATATATATATATATATATATATATATATATATATATATATATATATATATATATATATATATATATATATATATATATATATATATATATATATATATATATATATATATATATATACCTATTTATATTAATAAATACTTTGGCAGATAAACTAATAACCATACAAATGCAGCAAATGTTTTACAATATGACTGAAATCGTACTCCATAGTCAATGTAGATAGTTTTTGTGTTAAGAATAATAATTTAAAAAAATATGTGGTCATCTTTTGACAAATTTATATTAGTTTATTAATTGCAGTAAATATTATAATATATAAATAAATTTTGTGAATGCAAATAATAATACATCACTATTAGTAGATATTGAATGTTTTTTGTTAAATTAGATTGATTTTCGAACCCCAAAATTTAAAATATATTTTACATTTTACCCATTATCTTATGTACCACCTATTCATTATTTTTATATTGTAAAACATTTGCTGCATTTGTATGGTTCATGTTTATTAGCCAAAGTATTTATTACAATAAATCGGTATATATTATATTGTATTTATTAACTGTATATTATGTATATTTCATGTAAACTATATCATTTTTAAAATACAAACCAAAAATACGAGGAATAATTATGTTTCCCATGTATTCTCCAACATATTTATTAATCCGTATTATCTAACTAGCGTGACGTCATAAATCTCGCCTCGTGGCTGTTCTAATAGAGACGGCATTGGTCTAATATTTAGAAATGTCAAAAGCTGATGACATTTTACTTTTGTCAATTATGACATTTCGTGTTGATTTTTGCAAGAAGAGGAAGAATTGTCACTTGTTTTATTATTTTCCTTTTCTATTTCACGAAAGTAAAAAGAGTTACCTATCTGATTCGTTCAGGCTAGTTCAGCCACTCAATTTAAAGAATATCAGTAACTTTTTTGACAGAGGGATTTTATATTTGCCATGTTGGTAAAAAATAACGGTCAAAATTCAAAGTTATTCATTTTATAGACTATGCGGGGTGTTTTTCAAAAATGTGCATTTTTAACAAATCGCTGTAACTTTTTTACTATGGAAAATTTTGTATTTCTATGAAAACATTTCCAAAGCATCTTTTTACGTAGAATTTAATGGTTTAAGTATAATTTTTTTAAAACTAATAATTTAAGAGTTATCAACTGAAAAATTGATTTTTTATTTGGGACACCCTCTATATTTTTAATTAACTGAAAAGAATTTAAAATTACTTTTCCAAAAATATAGCACACTTGACATTTTGTTATAATCCCCTTCGAAATACAGAATTTTTAAAAGTTCGCCACTTTTAACCAGTAGGCTTTGGACCCCTTATTGATTATATGCCCTTAATGGAACTGGAAAACATATTTTTCCAGCAAGACGACGCACCGCCTCTCAACGCTGAAGTTATCAGCAAATTTTTGCAGCCAATTTCAAGAAAAATTGAAATTGAATAGCTAACCAAGATCCCAGCCGTTGGCCGTCGAGGCCGCCTGACTTAGTGCCCATGGATCTAATCCTATGGATATATTTGCGGAAGAATAAAGGTTCCTTATTCTTCCGTATAATCTAGACAAGAATTAGAAATACTTAGCAGTTATGAGAGGAATCTTTCACCCCTACTGAGTTAATGAATTCCGCGAGAAATGTTCAAAAACTGCCCCGTCTGTCCATAACAGAAGACGGTCGATATGTCGAACACCTGTAGCAAAATCTCATGTCTTGGTTTGCTATTTATTTTTATTGTTATTAGATATACGATAGTTTAAATGTGTTGATGTTGGTTAAATATATTTTAAATTGTTATAAAATTCTGCATCTCTTAGAGCAAATATTATTTTCGTTTTAATTGATTCTCACAGCTAGAATTTTTTTGCATTACAGCCGGTGCCGTTCAAAGCCTACTTATTTAAAGCGGGCGAATTTTTATATACTCTATATCTCGAAGAGGAATCGAGCAAAATATCAAGTGTGTTATATTTTTGGAAAGGTAATTTTAAATTATTTTCAATAAATTAAAAATATACAGGGTGTCCCATATAAAAAATCAAATTTTCTGTTGATAATTCTTAACTTATTAATTTAAAAAAAAATATACTTAAACCATTAAATTCTACGTAAAAAGGTGCTTCGGAAATGTTTTCATAAAAATACAAAATTTTCTATAGCAAAAAAGTTACAGCGATTTGTTAAAAATGCATATTTTTGAAAAACTTTGTAACTCCGAAACGGTAACAGATATCGATATGCGGTTTTCACAGTCATGTTTTTGACAAAAATTGAACTCCAGACACCGATTTTAGTTTTTGTCTATCTCCTATAGAAAAGGGTGTTTCCATTTAAAAGCGTCGAATTTGACCCACCCTGTACAACGTTGAATGATTTGTTTTGATACTGTTACGGATTCCGTGGGTCCACTATTTAAACTCACGATAAAATACTTAACGAATTTATTTGTTTCACTCTGTACACACAACTTATACTATTTACAACACAACTTATGCAACTACTATTACTCTAACGGTATTTCGCGGTATTTTCAAACTTCAGACTATCTTCAGACTTCCCAACTGTCGTAAGCGCTCCTTTTATATAGCTGTGGTGAGTGTTTCGCGAACAATCCAAAATTATCGGGACGGGTCCGCCATCTACTAGTACATTCTATTGTCTGCTTCGCTTACTTGTCGACTTGATTAAGAGATGGCGCTACAACAAAAAAATGTCTTCAGATTTCTTGACACGTTGCGGTTTTAGTTGCTCGCTTCTCCGACAGATGGCGCCACATACACCTTGACAATACTATTAAACCATACTGAATATATTTAAAAAGAACTTTATAAAAGTTTGTTTTTCTTCCTATTGTAGTGTCGCCAGTTCGTGGAAATGGTGAACGGTTCGGATATAGAAGTGTGCCACAGAAAATGCGGAGTGGATAACTTGTCGTCATCGTCTCCGAGATCCGGCAGTCCAGTCCAAACGTCCGTCATCCAATCGACCAAAGGATTTTGCAACAATAAAACTAACAATAAACCATCAGTAAGTACCTAATTGTTTATAGAAAAAATACCTATACAGGGTGATCGCAACCTTCGGCATCGTATTCTGCAGATAAAAATAAGTAAAAAAGTTCTTATAAATTCTTGTCCAGGGTTGGGTAGGTAGAAAATTTTATATATTCTACCGTAGAAAATTGATTTTCTACACCAACTAATTTTCTACATTTTTTACATGTCCAGACGTACAAAATTAGATTTGTATATTGTAATCCGTTTTTTGATATTGTTTTGACTATATTTATTTCAAATATTGATGATTTTTGTGTTGTTCTAAAACTAAAAGAGTTTCGGACTTCCATTGTCTTTATTTATTTTGTTTACACAACGTTTCGCAAAAACAAATAAAGCAAAATAAATTAAGACAATGGAAGTCCGAAACTCTTTTAGTTTTAGAACAACCCAAAAAAACCTAACATCTAACATAATGAAAGTAAGAAGCACAAACTACAATAAGTATTATTATATGTATATATCGTATTTTTTCAAATAATTCCTCAACTTTGTATAATGTAATGTATGAAATATTGTCCATAATGGTAATATATTCCTAAGCTGTTTGTAGCTCCTTTAAACCGATTATTATCGAACTCTTAGGTGGAAGAAATGAACCAGACCAACGCATCTCATAACGGCAACTGCACCAACAACACGTCCCTCATTCAAAACGAAGACGACCAAATGGAAGTGGACGCGACCGAGGACTGCACCAACGGACAAAACTGCCCTAATATTATGGAGTGCCCAAATATACAGGTAAACGTCAATAATCGCCATCCTTATTTCTTTATTCGTTGCCTAGATCATACTAAAAAAATCGATATATTTTTTTTATTCGATTGCAAGGAATATTGAGCAGCGTTGGAACTTGTTATGTTTTTTGTAGGATTGTCAAAACGGTAAAGACTATCAAAACGGAACGACAGACTCGTGCACGAACGGCAAAGACTCGATAAACGGTTATCAGAACGGCAGCGGTCATTGTAATAGCACGGAAGAGGAACAAGACGGGCATTGCTGTGATAACGAAGATGATATGGGTAAGAAAATCCCCATTTTTTTTAGTGTCCACTAATGGTTTAAGCTCGATTTTCATGCATCCGTTGTCCGACGATACGATGATACGATATTAATTTTATTGGTTGAATTTAAAGACTTCGATTGGTTAGAAAATTACGCAGTTTTTAAATTTATTGCATTTTCATGCCTCCCTTCATCGGATATACGATTTGCTTGTGATTATTGTCATTTTATATCTTCATTTCCATAACGATTTCGCTGTTTTACTTATAGTCTAAGAACTATAGCAACGTTTTCGAGAGAAATTTTAAGAAAACTGGTTCTTTAATACACTCAGGTGCAAAAAAAACGCAACGCAGAAAATTTTGGTCAAACTTAAACTGTTATATTTTTGTTATTTTTAGCCCTATTTTCATGAATTTTTTAGCAAGCTCTATATAATTATATCAACTTTAATTTGCAAACTCGGCTTTTTATAAACTTTAGTATTTGGCATATTATACAGGGTTAATCGAGGGGTTGTTTTTTTACCCTAACTTTGACACACCCTGTGCAATCATTTCGTGTGTAAATTTTCCTGAAATATAATTTTACGGAACCATGTCTCCTGAGCATTTATTTTTTGCAAAGAATTTGCAATTTTTTCAATTATAATTTATTTTTGAAGTTTTTTTTTCAATATGACAACGCAGCTTTGATAATTATTGTGAACTATATACTACTATGAACTGCCCATCATATTCGATGTTTGGGAGACGCTTGGCAGGAGGGTTAGAGGTTGCAAAGCTGTTACCAGCTTCATTAAATGAACTTCGCTTGGTCCTTAAAGAGGAATGGGAAAACATAACGCAATACAGCCTCAATGACAGTGTGAACAAACATATACAGGCAGTTATAGTAGCCAGGGGAGGCAATACAAAGTATTAAGGTATTTTTTACAATTTTTTTTAACTGAAAAAATTGCAAATGGATCGTGATCAGTTCATTTCGCTCTTAAAAATTAACCAAAGAATGCATTGATGTGATCCAAAAAACAAAATGCTCAGGAGACATGGTTCTTACCGTAAAATTATGTTTTAAGAAAATTTACACACGATATTATTGCACAGGATGTTTTAAAGTTAGGATAAAAAACAACCCCTCGATTAACCCTGTATAATATGCAAATTACTAAAGTTTACAAAAAACTGAGTTTACGAATTAAAGTTGATATAATTATGTACAGTTTGCTAAAAAATTCATGCAAATAGGGCTAAAAATAACAAAAATATAACACTTTAAATTTGACCAAAAATTTCTCTGTTGCGTTTTTTTTTGCATCTGAGTGTATATTTTTTGCTATGCTCTCCTGAACAGAGTGCGGACCGTCTGGGTGCCGGTAGACGTTGCGTTCACTACTGCGCATCATATCTCTATTCAACATGTGTTTACTACTGCGCATCACGGTTCCGGCGCATAAGCAGGCTAGGACACACCTATGTGTAGCATATTTAGTTTCATATAAAAGTAGCAAAGTAATGTGAAAATCGCATCATTGTATCTCTACTCATAAACGAGAAATCCCATAAAGCACACGAAAATCGGATACCCTGTACAGATGTGGTGCGCAGTAGTGAACGGCAGTAGTCTATCGGCAGCCAGACGGCCCGCACTTTGGTCAGGAGAGCATAACAAAAGATATATTAAAGAAACAGATTTCTTAAAATTCTCGTTTTCCCGACGTTGCTAGCTCTTGGACTATTATATTTTTATTAAGGTTAGATTAAATTTGTCAAAAAAGTATCAAAACGTCCGTTAGCGTACGATCTTTCTCTGCTTGGAGTAAAAAATTTACGGATAAAAAGTGGCGCGAAAACGCTATGATCGGACCATCGTGTCAACGGATAACCGACGCATGAAAATCAAGCTTTAAACCTCCTTAAAATATCTACAGTCTCTTCAGTGAGAGAAGAAATGGACAGACTGTACATATCAAATAAGGTTTGAGCGATACCAAAGAATATTTAGAATATTCTTTCAGATGTGGAATAATGTCCAATGTATTTTTTTTTCTTCTTGTAGATGTAGATGTGCCAGTATGCAGAAAATCGTGTTCAAAACCAGCAGTAGAAAGAATATTACAATTCGGTAGAGAATTATATAGTATGAGTCAAAAACTCAGTACAGATAAAAATACCAAACAACATAATCAACAGATGTTAGAAGTGAGTAACGTTCTATTTTCTTTTATATAAAACTTATATTTTTTATAAAAAAAAACTAGACTTCTATCCTCTTAATATTTTTAATTAAAAAATAAAATGTTACTAAAGCTTTTTTTGGATTTCAGGATGCATTTAGTTTATTAGCGTATTCAAATCCATGGTCTAGTCCGGTGGGATGGCAACTAGAACCGTCACAAAGAGAAGCCATCAGTGCTTCGTTAAATTCTGCCATTTTAGGTAATTACACTTTTTGGGTCTTGTGAACTATCCAGACACAATTTTTGCATTTTTATTTTTTTTTGGTAAAGATATAATTATTTTTAATAAGAAAAAATGCCGATTATGCACTGAACTTTAGAATATTTTAATTTAATTTTGGTACTATTTGACGCATATTTGACGTTACGGAGAACTTTTAACACATGACATTTTTGACATGCCAGAGACAGAAGGAAAGGTAATGTCATATAATGTCAAATAAAAAGAGTGAAACCAAAGCAATCAAATCAATTTGTTTTGATTGATATTTTAGAATATTTTTTTTTGATAAACCTGTTTTTCCACATCAGACTGTTTTCAAGTAATGCTTGCTTATTCGAATAAGTTTATTTTAAGGTAAAATAGGCTTCAATTTTTCTAAACGAAATTTATATCTGGATAATTCACTGAAACCATACTTTTTATTTTTCTTGTTGGATGATATGATAATTTTACAGTAGAAATTTTTAACTTTTACCACTATTTATACTTACTAACTACACTCAATATTTGGGAGTAATTTCATTTTGAGAAAAAGTTTGTTTTATAAGCTCATTATTAGGCTTTTTATTACGACTAGGTACCTCAAGCTATTGCTAGGATATTCTACTGTACGCTCGAAAACAAAAACGGCGTCAAGTTGGCTTGGAAATGACGATCGATGCCATTTCCCATATATAATTTTTCATATAAAATGACGGCGATCTTCATTTCATAGCCGTCGCTGACGCCGTTTTTATTCGATCATACGGTATTAATTTTAAACGATTTTTTTTTAGCCATTGTGAAAGATTGTAATCTCATAAGTGTAAAGTTTTAGCTTCATTCAGAAGCTCGCAATTAGTGGAATAAATTAGCGGTTTCAATTAGCGTAGAAGTTTGTTCCTTTAATTTCATTGTAAGCATTCGGAACGTCAAATTAGTGGTAGACATTTACAATTGGTAGAAAAAGTTTTCAAACTTTTGACTTTTCCACTAATTATACTTCAAATTTTGCGAGAAACGTCATTTTGGCCATTGATAATCTTCCGTCAAGAGAAATTGTGGTTATAAATCAAAAGTTGATTGTTTTATAAGCTAAATATTAGGCTTTCTCTATGGATACAACTGCCTAACGGAAGCTGTTGCTAGGATATTCTATTAATTTTAATAGTGTTTTTTAGACATTGTGAATGATTGTAAATTAAAAAGTATAAAGTGTAATTGAAACCACTAATTGCGAGGTTCTAAGCTTTATAAATTGAAACCACTAAGTTATTCCACTAATTTCGAGGTTCTGAAGCTTTAGATTCAAAAAAAAAATCGGTAAAAAAACTTTTAAGTTAAACGGTTTTATCTTATGTGCACTGAAAACTAGAAAATAATAATAACAATTAGGTATTTTGAACTTCTAGTTCAGAAATATTTTAGTACTAGGCAGAATAGCTTTTAGGCATATTAGACTAAAATAAAAACGTGGGGCCCATTAACTATTGCTGTAATACTTTCTTCTATACTAAGTGTGGATTGCATCGACTTAATTACAACTTAATTACTATAATCGTAACTGGAGATTTTGACAATCAATAACCAGCCGTGGCGGCTTCACCAGCGAACGCCGAGTTCATGATCTACCAAAGTATAAAGATATGCTTTGCCATAGGTAGGATTTCAGAGGGGCCCCACGTTTTTATTTTAGTCTAATATGCCTAAAAGCTATTCTGCCTAGTACTAAAATATTTCTGAACTAGAAGTTTAAAATACCTAATTGTTATTATTATTTTCTAGTTTTCAGTGCACATAAGATAAAACCGTTTAACTTAAATGTTTTTTTACCGATTTTTTATTTTCTAGTTTTTAGTATTTAACGGAAATGCCTACCGAATATTCCTCATTCTATTTAATTAATTTAGTGCATCATTATTACATGGTTTTTTACCTGATAGTTTATTACAATCTGACGCTCAGGTGTTTCTGACGCTAACAACTCTCTCTGTCTGTCGCGTTCTGATGCTAGCCTAGACTCATGACGCTCAGGTGTTTCTGGCGCTAACAACTCTCCTTGTCTCTCTCGTTATGATGCCAGCCTAGACTCATGACGCTCAGGTGTTTCTGCCGCTAACAACTCTCTCTGTCTGTCACGTTGTGATGCTAGCCTGGACTCATGACGCTCAGGTGTTTGTGACTCTACCAGCTGCCTTTGTCTCTCACGTTGTGCTATTAACCTGGCATCATGTTGCTCAGGTGTTTCTGTTGCTAACCGTTCTCTTCGCTTCTGTAGTCGACTATAGATTTCATTTTCACTTTCTTTTGCACGTTTCGTTCTATACTTTTCTTTCGCCTTTTCGAGCCTTCTTTTTCGTTGTGTAGCAGTTTCGTTTTTATTTTTGTTTGTTTTTTTATTTATTGTTTCCATGTTGTTCCACGAGTAATGGACATTTTAACGGTCGACCCCAGAGGTCCAGTAGAGGGGCAAAGCTATAATATACAACAAGAGGCGCCCAATCTTGAGGGGAAACGCTTGCGACATTACATTTTTAGCCACCCTAATGCCATACAGTCCTCAGCACATTTTAACCTATTACCTTAACTTGGGTGGTAAAGCTACCGCTAACTACGTAGATACATCTAATCACCTATTTTTTTTATCTGTCCTTCTAACGTCACACAATCTTGGACACAACTGTTCTGGACACGACTGCTCATGCCCTCACCTAATACGCCATTTTGTAACGACGTCCATCTTGGATTTTAAATTTTGTCATAATCACAGTATTCTACTTGTGTAGCCCTTTCATTTGATACCCATATTGAGGGGGTTGTGGAAAAATATGAAATCCGCCATTTTGTACCGGCGGCCATCTTAGATTTACAATGTTATTGATATTACTATATTGTATTGTCATCGGAACTAAAGGTGTGTACCAAATTTCAGATCAATCTGACAACAGGAAGGTACTTAAATTTCAATTTCTAATTTTGACCCAAATAAACAAACAAATAAATAAATACCGTACGGGTCGAGCTAAATAAAACCGTTTAAAACTCGTAATGGATTGTAATGAACCAGTTGCCAAAAAAAAACTGTATAATAAAATAACCTTTGTCTTTTCCAGAATCAAACAATAAGCCTCGCAAGCCGCCCCTGGAGATGGCCACCGCGCACGCCCACGAACTGATCCGGCTCATGTCGCACCACGGCCTCGGCGCCTGCGCCTTCGCCTCCCTCGACGACGTGCTCGAGTCCGCGCCCCAGCAGTGACCCGGGTGGCGCTACGCCCCCTCGTTTGGAGGTGTGCTCGTACGGCCGGTCGACGCGTAGGCGCGGCACCGATGCAATCGACTACTCAGCTGACTGCCATTCTCTCTCTTTCTCTGTTTCGGAACGCGTCCAAGATCTTGTCCGGAGGACGTACGTTGGCGCAAGCGAAGGTGGGTCGCTCGGGTTTTGCGTTTCGGTGAATCCCCCGCCGTTGAAATGGGTGTAAAAGGACTGTTTAAAAAGGGGGCAGCTGATCTGTGTGTATTAAGGCCGTTTTACAGTTTGCAATTTTATCTGCATGAAAGAAAAGTTGCAGCAAATTTTTTTCTTGCCCTTGCAGATGATAGATCCGAACCCATAACTGTTCAACTTGGCTTGCAACTTTTGGTTATTTTTCTAGTTATTTTCAGATTACCAATTTCCCAACATAACCTCATATTTATATTATTAATTTAAATGAATAATAAGTTACGTTAATTCGTTAACAAATTGTCAACCAGAGTTGCCAACTTTCTGAAATTGAATTTCCTACGAAGGCCGTCAAAATTTCCCGTTTTTTCCTAAATCCAATGTATTGTCAGCAACACAATACAAATATATTTTTTTAACTGAAACATTTTTCCAAAAAACAACAAAATTTTCTAAATTTCAAAATATACTTTACAATTTTTTTTGTTTTTGTCTGACGCCAACAGAAAATGGTATTTAGTTGAGGTAATGCCAGTTTGAATTTACTCACTTGCTGAGAAATGCATATACGATAACTTTTTTTTACGAATAATACATGAATTTAAAATTTCCCACTAATTGTTTTTGGTTAAAATTTCTCTTTTCCCTCCAGGATCTTGAAATTTCCCACGAATTGGGAAATTTTGCAAGAGTTGGCAGCCGATAATCGTCAATTTTCATTAAGTTGGACAAACCGTTTGAAACAAATATATTTCAATAAAAATTGCGGACTGTAAAGTGAACTGCGACTTAATTGCGGCAAGTAAAGTTGCCGCAACATTTCTTGTATGCAAGTAAAATTGCCAACTGTAAGACGGCCTTTAGGTAGAGCTTTGAGATGTTAGAGTATGTAAGGTTTTTAAAAAATTAAAAATAGATAGCAAGAAAGATGCAAATTTTAATCAAACAAAAAAGATTAGAGTTATTTAGAAATAAGGGTATTCTTTAGCTAAATTCCATCTTGCAGGATCATCTACTGTAGATAATAAAATATTTTTTTTTAAAGAATATATTAAATTTTAGCTCTCCTCCATACTTTTGGTATGTGACAATTGTTTCGTCTTAAAGAAACTATCCCACTAAATATTAATGAAGTTATAGATTAAACCTTGCATATTTTAACGTCTTTAAGACGTTTTTCGGACCCGAGTGGCTTTGCTTACATTGCCTTTGATTCAATCTGCAGAGTCAAAATATAAGTATATAAGTGCACATCCGCTAGTTTTTCGAGTTTGCGAAATGGAAAATGTATGAAGTAGATTCGGAGGAAAAGTGGAAAGAGGCCAAAAATTATCAATTTTTTTCACCCCGAAATACTCCAGAATCTAGACTTATAAATAAATCATTGGTTGCAGCACAGAATATCTAGCTACGCAACAGAAGCCTCGTTACATGTATAAAATCATAGGTCTCAAAAGGAGACAGGCTTTTAAAGCCCGCCTCCAAATCAGATATTTTGATGCGGTAGTTTCGCTACTACATAATAGAGGGCGATCAATTTAAAAGAAAACAGTTTTCTACAAACAAAATTTAAAAGAATTTTATGCAGTGTTGCCATTGTGTAATTTATATTGTAATACTTCCTGATAAAGCCTACCTTCAAATTTGCTACATCATTTAAACATATTAAAATAGATATAAGTATTTAACTTGCCATGTTAGTTGGAGTTAAATCTTACGAGCTGAATTAAAATCACTTCCTGATGTTTGATTCTAACTGAATCCTGAATTTTGATTGTAATTCGACTATTATGACACCACTTCCTGACGTTCGATTGTGTTCATACCGTATGATCGGGAAAACACGGCGTTAGCGATGGCTATGAAATGAAAATCGCTGTCATTTTATGTGTAAATTTATATGGGATCGTCTTTTCCCAGCCAACTGGACGCCGTTTTTTTCGGTATGAGACGGTATTTGATATATACTTGCGTATTTTTCATGACATTGCAATATTATGGTACCATGAAGCATATCCAAGTGATACCGTAATATAGTACCATATTACGATACATGGCGTTCGATTGGGCTTAAACTTGTTTTATTACGTATCTTCAGTGACATTGTAATATTATGGTACCATGAAGCATATAAAGAGGTACCTTCTATAGTACCATATTATGATACTAATTCCTGACGTTCATTTGGGCTCATATTTGATATATACTTGCATATTTTTAATGACATTGCAATATTATGGTACCATGAAGCATATCAAGAGGTAGCATAATAGTACCATATACGATACCATTTCCCGGCGTGCGATTGGACTTATACTTGATATAGTAAGTATCTTCGGTGACATTGTAATATGATGGGATTATGGTGCATATAAAGTGGTACCTTAATATAGTACCATATTACGGTACCACTTCCTGACGTTCGATTGGGCTCATATTTAATTATACTTGCGTATTTTTGATGACATTGCAATATTATGGTACCATGAAGCATATCAAGGGTACCATAATGTAGTACCATATTACGATACCACTTCCTGACGTTCGATTGGGCTCATATTTGATTATACTTGCGTATTTTTGATGACATTGCAATATTATGCAATACCATGAAGCATATCAAGGGCTACCATAATGTAGTACCATATTACGATACCATTTCCTGGCTTTGGGCCCAAATTTGATATACTTGCGTTTCTTTATAAAGATTTGTTTAATTAATAATTTTAATTTATTTTACGAATTTTAATTTATTGTACGATGTCGTGACAGCAATTTTTATGCCGAACTAATATATTATTAATTGTACCTGTGTCACTTTTTAAAATCTACCTAGGTCTATATAAATAACGTGGCAAACAGAAAAAATTTGTTTCTATAGTATTTTTTTAGGAAGAATAGAAAGAAATTATTATACACCAGGAAAAGAATGGGATGCCAATTAAAGTCTTTTTGAATCTGGCAACTGTGCATATTTAACCGAGCTTCAAGGCCGTCGACGTGTCGTCGATCTACGTCGATCCAAAACCGAAAATTGAAAATTACCAATTATATTCTGATTATGATATTGTCGCGCCATCTAGTATTTTATTTGTGCAATTTTAGCTCTTTCATTTCGAGTATTTTTCTGTTGCGTAGCTAGATATTCTGTGGTTGCAGTATCGAAAATACAATTTTTTTAGCCATATCCGAACATATCCGTTGAACAAAATCGGTTGCCTCTTTCCACTGGTACATAGGTAGAGAAGAGTACTTGCACCTGAACATTATATAACAACACGTATTTTAGTATCAAAAGAATGAAAACGGCGTCATAGTAAGCATAGAAGGAGCATTTCAATTCAGGCTTTATGTTATGTTTCTCGCTGAACTCCTTGATGACAGTGATTACAGTGTAAAAAAATTAAATAGTTTGTATTCAAATTTTTTTAAGTATTTTAACAATTTTGTCTAATTTTTATAACTGGTTTTAACATATAATAATTCTCAAGTAGCTCTTGAGAATTCTAGCTAGAAACAAAGATATTTCTATGCATACTGTGATGGCGTTTTTATTTGATTATATACCGTATGAAATATTGAATTAAAACAGCTTTACTAGCACGGCAAATATTTGTGGATTTTGTTATATTTAGTATTTTTTATAAAAAAAATATATATTACTGTCTACGTACATCAGTGAAATGAATTTTGATGAAAAGTTGAGTAAAATACGTGTTAAGAAATTCAACATTTTTAAAATAAGGATAGAGCTAAGTATTGGATTGTTCGAAAATCGAAGGTATTGTGCTTTTTGTGGTATGTCGTTATTAAAATATAATAAGCTTTTAAAGTTTAGAAAGTTGTATTAAATATAAGGAATGGAAAATCGCGCATAAGCGTCATAACAAAATAAAAGAGTTTTTAATAAACTATATTTGTGTTAATAATTTAATTTTTAACTGTAAAATTGTCTTTAAGCATATTTTTCCAATGAAAGATACAGGGTGTCGCATTCAAGAATTCACATTACGTGTGTATTCTTTTATGGTACACCGTGTATACTCAGTAATTATCCGAATTAACGATATAAAGCAAGAAAAAAAACTATGCGCGATATAAGTAAGTATTGTAGTTGATAAGAAGAGTTTCTATAAGTGTTGTTAGGTGTACAGTTTAAGAGAAAAAAAATGGTAATTATTGATATAAAAATAAGGTCCAGGTGCAAGTACGCGCGAGTTAGAGGTTACTCTTATGTATTCAGATGTCAACAATGTGATAAAAAAAAATAAATGAAACCTTATTTAGAGAGTGAGTCAGTTAATATTTTTTTAGCTATACGATTTTTTTAACTCGACAGATTTATTTCGTATGTATATAGACAGTTGATTTTTTATGATTGTACATAAAACGCAGGAAAATGAGATAATATTATGTCAATCAATTTTTTTTATTGATACAATACGTTTAGTTTTTTTTCTTAATCGATTATTATGACTTTCGTTTTTCCTTTTGTTCGCATTATTTGGGCGTTTTTTAATAACAAATTATATCGGAAAAAGTATATTCTAAGGTGTTTTTATTTAATGTAGACTTATACCATTTTTTTAGTGATGAAACAACATGTACATAAACTGAAAAGTATGTTATAATTTATCAATAATAAAGAGAAAATGTATTTATATTGTAGTTTAATTTCTCCCCCTAAAGTAAAACTAACTAAAAGTAATTGTGATAATAAAGATAACGTCCCAATTTTTTTAGTTGCACGAACAAGTTTTCTTTCTTGTAGTGTCAAACTTTTTTGTGATTTTCGCTTTGTGATTGGCACAAATAAGTTTTGATTGCTTTAGTTTCAACATTTTTTTCCGTGATTTTCGCTTTTTGATAGACACAAATAAGTTTTGATTGCTTTAGTTTCATCTTTTTTTTTTGTGATTTTCGCTTTTTGATTGCTTAAGTTTCATCTTTTTTTTTTGTGATTATCGCTTTTTGATTGGCACAAATAAGTTTTGATTGCTTTAGTTTCATCCTTTTTTTTGTGATTTTCGCTTTTTGATTGACACAAATAAGTTTTGATTGCTTTAGTTTCATCCTTTTTTTTGTGATTATCGCTTTTTGATTGGCACAAATAAGCTTTGATTGCTTTAGTTTCAACTTTTTTTTAGATTTTTGCTTTTTGATTGGCACAAATAAGTTTTGATTGCTTTAGTTTCAACTTTTTTTTTGTGATTTTCGTTTTTTCATTGGTACAAATAAGTTTTGGATGCTTTAGTTTCAACCTTTTGTCGCGATTTTTGCTTTTTGATTGGAACAAATAAGTTTTGATTGCTTTAGTTTCAACATTTTTTTCCGTGATTTTCGCTTTTTGATTGGCACAAATAAGTTTTGATTGCTTTAGTTTCATCTTTTTTTTGTGATTTTCGCTTCTTGATTGGCACAAATAAGTTTTGATTGCTTTAGTTTCATCCTTTTTTTTGTGATTATCGCTTTTTGATTGGCACAAATAAGCTTTAATTGCTTTAGTTTCAACCTTTTTTTAGATTTTTGCTTTTTGATTGGCACAAATAAGTTTTGATTGCTTTAGTTTCAACTTTTTTTTTGTGATTTTCGCTTTGTGATTGGCACAAATAAGTTTTGATTGCTTTAGTTTCAACCTTTTTTTGGTGATTTTCGCTTTTTGATTAGTACAAATAAGTTTTGATTGCTTTAGTTTCAACATTTTTTCCGTGATTTTCGCTTTTTGACTGACACAAATAAGTTTTGATTGCTTTAGTTTCATCTTTTTTTTGTGATTTTCGCTTCTTGATTGGCACAAATAAGTTTTGATTTCTTTAGTTTCATCCTTTTTTTTGTGATTATCGCTTTTTGATTGGCACAAATAATCTTTGATTGCTTTAGTTTCAACTTTTTTTTGCGATTTTCGCTTTTTGATTGGCACAAATAAGTTTTGATTGCTTTAGTTTCAACCTTTTTCGTGATTTTCGGTTTTTGATTGGCACAAAAAAGTTTTGATTGCTTTAGTTTTAACCTTTTTTTCGTGATTTTCTTTTTGACTGGCACAAATAAGTTTTGACACCTAGACAACAGAGACTAAACTGTTTTTCTTTTCTAATTAATTGGAATTTCCTTGCAAGATTCACGTAATTTGTAGGGAAAAAAGTTAAACAAATATACTAAATAAAATTCTTTATTACGATTAATAAATATTAACAAAAATAAATTAAAACTTATGGCAACATAACTCTTTAAAATTTCAATATAACATTTAAATATTACACTTTATTTCACTTGAATCGACACCGGCGGTGTAAATTTCCAAACGTGCCCTGTATTTATTAAAGGTCCTGTACTAACCGAGGCACCGTCAGGCGTGTAACATTGTATATCCATCTTGTACAACCCTGGCGTAAAAAATATTACGTTGCATTTGTGACTTGCTGTTTCTTGTGGCTCCAAAACCGACAGAATTTTCCTAAAAAATAAAAGGTTTATTTTTAAAAAAATGAACTTAAGAAATATTAATTTTCCTTACTTTGGGGTGCCTGCTATGGCCAGCCTGGTATCCATCCGGTAATTCAGCGTTCCGTTATTGTAATCTTGATAAAATTGGACCGATAATGCGAGTTCTTTTATGGATGTTTCCAGACTGTTTCCAATGGACATTTGTAGCTCCATACAATCGCCTGCTTCGCAAGATAAGTCTTCTTGGGCGTGTATCGCATCTCCATTAATTTTTACATCTGGAAATTAAATAATAAACAACAATGAAAATTTCGGGTAGGGACACTGAAAGTTTCGGGTAGGGACATTGGATTCGTGTAGGGACAATGAAAATTTCGTGTAGGAACATTGAAAAGTTGGGGTAGGGACATTGAAAGTTTCGAGTAGGAACAGTAAAAATTTCGGGTAGGGACATTGAAAGTTGAGGTAGGGACATTGGAAGTTTCGTGTAGGGACAATGCAAATTTCGGGTAGGGATAGTGAAAAGTAGGGGTAGGGACATTGAAAGTTTCGTGTAGGGAAAATGAAAATTTCGTGTAGGGATATTGAAAATTTCGTGTAGGGATATTGAAAATTTCGTGTAGGGACTGAAAATTTCGGCTAGGGACAGTGTCAGGGAAATAGGGACATTGAAAATTTCGTGTAGGGTATTAAAAAGTTGGGGTAGAGATATTGGAAGTTTCGTGTAGGGACAATGAAAATTTCGGGTAGGGATAGTGAAAAGTAGGGGTAGGGACATTGAAAGTTTCGTGTAGGGAAAATGAAAATTTCGTGTAGGGATATTGAAAAGTTGGGGTAGGAACATTGGAAGTTTCCTGTAGGGACAATGAAAATTTCACGTAGTGTCAGAGAAAATTTCTGGTAGGGACAGCGAAAAGTAGGGAGGGACATTGAAATTTTCGAGTTGGGCTAGTGAAAAGTTCGGGGTAGGAATAGTGGAAAATTTGGGATAGGGACATTGAGTTTCGTGTAGGGACATGAAATTTTGAGTGAAAATGAAAATTTCGGATAGGGACAGTGAGAAGTTTGGGTATGGACGATACATTGTGAGGAATTGAATCGCGTGATTCGATTCATTAAAAAGAATTGTAATGCCCATCACTACTAAACAGGGTAAGTCTAAAATAAGTGCATATATTTTAAGGAGTGGTATATTTCGACCAAAGAACTATATCTATGAGTTTTCTTCACTGGAAAAAAAATACTGTACTTTTTATTTTTGAAAAAAAGTTATCAAATTTTTAAATTTTTACTTCAAAAATATACTATATTGCGAACATGACAACATAGTAGATTAAATTTAATTGAACGAATAAAAAAAGAAAAAATCCAGTGGTGCTTAAAATTTAAGATAACAATCTTTTTTTTGCAAATTTCAAAGTAAAATAACTCGGTTATTTTGGACAGCCCTGAGAATATTTGCACTTATTTAAGACTCATCCTGTACACTTTTATTAGTCTACAAACTGGACTCACCCCATTGTAATGGCGACATTCGAACGACATCCAGCATTCTACTATTCAGCGTGATGCCTTTTAATGAGGCCAGCCCTGACGAATCCGTAGCGTTCAGTAACCATTTTAAGTTCACTTGTTCCGCTATATGCTCCGAACAGATTTTGTCCACATCGACCGAGGTTTTCGAATGATTGTATTCTTCATAGAAATCTGAAAATAAAAATCCAGATCCGTATTTAATAATAAAAGAAAGTTGATGATGGTATCTCGGAAACGAAACGTCGGATTAGAAATTTACTTACACCATCTTATAAAGAGGAAAAAATGACAATAACGAAGTGACATTTATTTTAAAACATGTTTTCAAATAAGTCCAGAAAAAATTAAAAACGATTTTACAATATTTCGTTTTTTTTTTAATTATCAAAACGTTACACATAAAACCGTGAAACTTTGCCATAATTTGATCATACTCCTTCGTATCTTTCATGCTTTCCGAGATACTAATGGCAACTCTGGAATTTGTGACGTCCTGTATACCTGATAACTTCGATAAGGGACATCTATCGACCGGTACGGGAACTCTGCAACTCTCCTGAGCTTCGACCAGCATACATTTGGCATGAGCGTATTCCAGTTCCATTTCTTGCGTAGTCAAATTGATTATGTCCAAAACCAAATAAAACTGCGAGCTCCTGAAAAATAACAGTCGTTAAACAAAAAGAAACAGCCATAAAGGACAACTACTGTGACGTCACGTAATATGCAACCAACAATACGCCTACGAATCATAGCAAAATCAATTCAGAATCAATTGACATTCTAAGATAATAATCCTCATAAAACTCTTCATTTAAAGACAAAATTTTAACCGCATAAAACGCAAAAAAATGTATATTGCGGCACTATCAAGGGAATCAAAATTTATAGGGTATTTTCCGATGACCTAGAACTATGAAATTATTAGGATTTTGTGTACTGTTAGTTGCATACTTTTTTAAAGTAATTTCGCTTACGTTTCCGCCGGCATGACATCCCAATTCGTTACTTGCAGAGATGGTAGCATTTCTACCATGAAAAATACCGTACTGGTTCGACAATGCTGCGATTCTAGCCCAGCCCCTCCACTATACCTAAAAACACCATTTTTTTAATGTTTTAATGCAATATACATGTATTATTTGGCATTTTACTGAATTTTCAGCTTTAGTTATTTCTCTTCTGTTACCTTAATTTTAATTGCGCCTCCACTGCCGATGAACTTATTGGTTGTTGCTGAAATAATGCAGTGAGACCTCCGGCTAAGCTAGAATGACCCGAGTTTGACGAACGAAAACTAAAAACAATATCAATTTCGAATCAATAACGAGCTAAGATTTGAGCAATTTTATAAGAACTGGAAATACATATTATATTTTTTGTCTCACTGTATAATGTCTAATTGATTTCTTTAAACAGATCAAATATATATACTTCCCTTAACAACATAACCCAAATTTCAACTTTCAATATGTTGAAATTGCGATTTTATTAATGCTTATTCAAGATCATGTTTTTGCCAATATTACACATATTGTAATCGCAAAACATTTTCCGGTGCACGTCATCAATCAGATCGACATTGACACTAAAGTCTATAAACCTGACTAAATGAAATTTTGGCAATAACGTTTAAATTTCTTTTATAATTTAGGATAGCGAGCAGCTCTTTATTTTACTTTATAGAGCAAATGATTGTAACAGATATTTTCTTTAATTTAAAGCTGCAAAAATTAGTTTAAACCGAATTTTATTATCGCTATGTTGGTCACATTGCGCCGTCTTCAGCAATGCTGTCCTTTATTATTTGACAAAAAAAAAAAAGTTAAAGTTAGTTTTGTTAAAGTTATTTTATCTTCATAATAGACTAGTTTTTGCCAATATGTAATAAGTAAAATAAGCTATAAAACAAATAAATCAATTAATCACTAAAATATTAGTTATTAAATTAAAAATAAAACGTAAAACTCCTTAAAAAATGATATAATAAATGTGTTTGTCAATTTTAAATTAAGATTCATCTCATAAATCCATCACAATCTGGCAGCGCTGTCGCCATCGCTTGTCACTCAAAGTTCAACACGTGCATCGGAAATTATTTTGCGATTACCATCTCGAACACTATTCGAGCCTGATATAGAATTTGAACCACGCTGTATATTACATACCTGGAGTTAACTCTGGATAGGGAATTTCCAGGCAATGACGTCGACATGCTGCTAAACAGTCCGCTGTTCAGTTCGTGAGGCAAACTAGGCGACGTTGCCGTGTTTGGCGCCAAAAAATTCGCCGCAGCATACAGACTATTAAAGTATCAATTTAAATAGAATTTAATTGTTTATTGTATTCCAAATATATTTTATCTTTATTTTTAAACATATTCTTAATTGAAGTTATTACCCACAATTACCTCACAGTAAAAGTAGCCGTTTGATCTGGCAACAGCGGCAATAACCTCTTCACCTCCTCCTCGTCGAACCGAAATATCTCGTCCTGCAGATTCTGTTCCAAAACGCTGCTTATCGTGACGTCGAGCATTTCTATCGGTATCTGGCTGTCGTTGGTCAGTGTAACGGTGCACTGCGCGCCCTCTCCGTGATACAAGCTCACACTAGCCGACGTCACGATGTTATCGTCGTGGAAGTTTGAAAACGACGCGCTTTGGGGAAGCGATGTTGAAATCTAAAACCACGAAAACCTACGTTAAGATAGGCATAATCATGGAATAATAGTGATAGTAACATTTACCCAGCAAAGGTCTGTCCAACAAGTCAGGAAAAATTTCGACAGCTGACATACAAAAATTTACAAAAATAAACATTTAAAGCCTAGTTCTCAAAACTACGTTGTGTCGCTAGCAATCAAGCTTGACACGTCAAAGAACTAATAAAAAAGGAAAGTATTCTCAGTTAACATCTCCTTTTTGCTGCTTTTTGTTTGAACCGGTGTTTCGACGTAGCTGGTTGCCCAAAGAACCGAGATTTATACAAAATTCAAACAGCTGTCAAATTTAAATTGAGTGCAACTCTCATTGGTTCCTTGAGGTGTCTAAGCTACCCAATAGAGTTCTGAGAGAGAGAGAGAGGCTTAACCATTGCCTGGAAACTTATATGGTGAAATTTTGATAAAATAATTTAGTACTCACTAAAAACACGGTATGTCGTTAGTGGTAGGAAAAATAATTTTTAGAGGTTAATAGTTTATTTGGTTGCCTGTGATATGCATATACAGGGCGTTTCCTAATTAATCTAAAAAATAAAAAATCGTTAGAAAACGGCTTAAGGCGGGCTCTTAATAAGTATATTTATTTTTTTCTCGGCAACTGTAGATCAGAAAGGAAGTACTTTAGACCCAAAGGTTATATAAAAATTGTTTTACGAACACATCATGAGGAATCACACCAAAATTTTTTAGACTAATTAGAAAACACCCTGTATATTGTCAACTTGACAATGACTGTTGATAAATCAAAAAATACCTTTTCTGTGAAAAAAAATTTTCTGTGTGGTTTTTATTGAATTTGGGCCTGCGTCTGCAAATACCCGGTATGTTTTTTAATATTCATCTATCTAAATTTTAAATATCATAGTCAGAAATAATTTCATTATTTATTAACTGTAAAAATGGTATACTTATAAGTTTTATCAAATATTGTGATTTACTTTCTACCTTGTAGTCAAAATTTATATTTAATAAACTGTAAAATATACAGGGTGTTTCAAAACAAATGCGAAAAACTTCAGGGGGTGATTCCTTGTTCAAAATAAAGGGTAGATTGCTTCATAAACGTTGGGTCAAAAGTCAACCATTAGGGAGATATTGCGGTACAAAGATGGCGGAAAAATAATGTTTTTATTTTTTATCTTGAAAACGAAAAGAGATAGACTAATAAAATTTTATGAAAGCATTACTGTTATGAAAACACACTTTCTGGTAATTTTTTCACTTTTTTAAAATGAGTGGAAGGGGTTCAAATAAACTACCCCTATCATTCTTGTTAACGAAATTTAAAGAAAAATCTTATCAAACACATGCAAAAAAATTAATTTGGATAGTTTAGTTTGTTTAGAAACTTTTTTATCTCTTGTATTTTTTTGATAAAACTCACCGATCTGAAATTAAAAAATAAAATGTAAAACATTACATGTCAGGACAAAAAACATTTTCTGATAAAGAATCTAGTGGGCTGCTGTAATTTTTTTAGGAAAAAATCTAGTCGGCCGCTGTTACTTTTTAGGATGTTCCTAATATTATTTTATTTGACATTACTCTACTGCAATACGTTATTATCTAGAAGATTATTATTATCGTTATTATCACTAGATTCTTAATCTAAAAATGTTTTTTGTCCTGACATGTAATGCTTTACATTTTATTTTTAATTTCCAATCGGTGAGTTTTATCAAAAAAAACACAAGAGGTAAAAAGTTTCTAAACAAACTAAACTATCAAATTAAAGCACCCATGTGTTTGATAAGATCTTTCTTTAAATTTCGTTAACAAAATGATAGAGGGTAGTTTATTTCAACCCCTTCCACTCATTTTAAAAAAGTGAAAAATTACCAGAAAGTGTGTTTTCATAACAGTAATGCTTCCATAAAATTTTATTAGTCTATCTCTTTTCGTTTTCAAGATAAAAAATAAAAACCTTATTTTTCCGCCATCTTTGTACCGCGATATCTCCCTAATGGTTGACTTTTGACCCAACGTTTATAAAGCAAACTACCCTTTATTTTGAACAAGGAATCACCCCCTAAAGTTTTTCGCATTTGTTTTGAAACATCCTGTATACATATATTCTTATGTTTTATTAAAGTTACTCTGATATACTAATATATCAGTGTAACTTTAAAACTAAATCCTTTGAAATCAAATATAAACATAAAACATATTTACAGCAGAAAAGGCGAAGGCGCTGGGTTAAACGTAGTGTCTACTAAGAACACGGAGGGGCGCTTTGACCCAAAATTTTACTATTAAGTTTCATATCTATCTTAATAGAATATTATTTTCTTTTATCTATGGGCTTAACCAGTTAATTAAAATGACAGACACTCGTTGAAAATGACAGAAACTCTCCTCGTTGGACAGCCTATAGATTGCTTTATATTAATAAATTTTTTGAAGACATCTAAAATGAATGCTTATCGTTAGGCTTTTTTAATGCTTACTTGTAGCACAGGTAGGCCAGGAACTACATCTATTTTATACATGAACGGAAACGTGTTACTCATATATTTTAACCTACAATTCGATTTAACGCCTAAAGCGTGTGTGCTGTATCCTAAAAAAATATTAAAAAGTTAATAGTTTTCACGCTGATTTACAAAAAAAAACCCGAATGGTTATTGAATGGGATATACAGGGTGTTTAAAAAAACATGTGCCATCTCTCGTGGGGAGATGCCTCACGTAAAAATAAGATTTATTTTTCATATCAACATAGGTCCGCTTCTGCTTTGTTTCGTAGCTACAGGGTGTAGTAAAGATTTATTGTAATTTTCTTCCAACTACTTTTAGCGTTTCGAATGAAATTTTGAAGGTAACAATTACTATAAATGCGACATATTTTAAAGCTAAAAAAGTGTCGACATATTCACCAGGGACGTGCATATTACTGCATATGGGTTATCACTAGAATATTTTTCTAAAAAAAGCATGTACGCCACTGACATTATTCTCTTGTTAGCGAAATAGTGTAAGCAGTTTAACGTCGATTAAAAGTTGTCTCTTAATATTTTATTAATTTCGACCTCCTTGATGACATAAACGCAATTTTATTAATTTGTAGCGTTTTTTAAACCACTACCACTGCGAACGGCAGCTTTTCATCGGAGAGCAGTCGTGGATAAGGTATTTCACTAGAGAGAAAATTAATCAGTAATAATTAACAAAAGATATATAAATATTGGGCGCCAGGCATGTACAGAGAAAGAAAACACAGTTGTATAATACTTAAAACTAATGACTATATTTATTCATGACGTTCTTTGCTGATACATGACATTGTAGAGTTCTAGTAAATATATAGTGGTTATATGTCAAAGAAAGGGGTGGTAGGAGTCGTACTAAATATCAATGAAAACAACTACGATAAAATACAGGACATGTAAAGTTTAAGAGAAAATATGAAATGTAGCATTACTTTAATTAATTTAATATATTCCATATGATGCTAAATCGATGATGTTACAACCTGTAGATTCTAGAATCTATGTTTGATTATCCATCTATTAAAATAGTGCAAAAATATCTATAAAAGTAATACCATTACAAGACGTAATGCAATGAAACCTAAGATCTAAATTATATTTTAAAGATTATATCGACATGAATGTTCTTAACAATCTAACCACTGAACATAGTCTGTACGATATTACTTAAGATGTATGTTATTGTTTAAGACTGAAAATGTTTTAGATGTTAAAATGTAAAACTAGAACTTAAATATACACTTAGCTGTTCTTTTATGTAACCTTGCTTCAAACAGTAGCAGCGTGAGGTGGTCTAGCATCTCTGTACTGTCTGTCGGCGATCCTGTTGGTCAAAACAACAAAGGGGGCCAGATTGAGGGACACCATGAATCCCACCTTACAGCCGTAGCTACTGACTAGGCTTAGAAATGGGAGTGAAGCAGCATGGGACTCAAGCTACATCCACGCTGTGGCACTTAGATGTAAGAAAAAATCGTTCTTACTGGGGACACTCGTCCACAGGACATCTGTACATAAGATAATGTCTGTACATAAGACACTATCCGTACCTTGGACCACAGAATATCTAGCTACGCAACAGAAAAATACTCAAAATGAAAGAGCTAAAATTGCACAAATAGAATACTAGATGGCGCGACAATGTCATAATCAGAATATAATTAGAAATTTTGAACTTTCGGTTTTGGATCGACGGCTCGTCGACGGCCTTATAGCTCGGCTAAATATGCATAGTTGCCAGATTCAAAAAGACTTGAATTGGCATCCCATTCTTTTTATTATGTATAATGCAGTATGTATTTCTTTCTAGTCATCTTTTCTTGTCAGATACACTTATATTAATTATTCCTTTGGCTATTAAAATAGTTTTAAGTATGTTATTACAAAACATATACATTTTTTATATACACTACCTTATAATGTTAACTAAGAAAATACCTTTAATTACCTTTAAAATTAATAATAGACAGGGCGATTGATAGTGATATTTATTATTAATGCTGGAACGTTAGTAATGAAATATAAGTTTAATAATAATGGAAATAATTTATTAAAATGCAATACAAAAAAATGTTAACTGACTAAAAAATACTATAATAACAAATTTCTTCCGTTTGCACGTTATTTATATAGACCTAGGTAGATTTTTAAAAAGTGACACAGGTACAATTAATAATATATTAGTTCGGCATAAAAGTTGATGTCACGACATCGAACAATAAATTAAAATAAATTAAAATTCGTAAAATAAATTAAAATTATTAATTAAACAAATCTTTATAAAAGAAACGCAAGTATGCCAAATTTGGGACCCAATCGAACTCCAGGAAATAATATCGTAATAGTGTACTATATTATGGTACCACTCGATATGCTTTAAGGTACCTTAATATTGCAATGTCACCGAAGATCCGTAGTATACCAAATTTAACAATCCGAACGCCATGACATGGTATCGTAATATGGTACTATATTAAGGTATACACTTTATATACATCATAGTTCAATCATATTACAATGTAACCGAAGATACGTAGTATACCAAGTTTGAGCCCAATCGAACGCCAGGAAATGGTATCGTAATATGGTACTATATTAAGAGTACCACTTTATATATACATCATAGTTCAATCATATTACAATGTAACCAGAAGATACGTAGTATACCAAGTTTGAGCCCAATCGAGACGCCATGTACCTAATATAGTACTATATTATGGTACCAGTTGATATACTTCATGGTACCATAATAATGCAATGTCATCAAAAATACGCAAGTATATATCAAATATGAGCTCAATCGAAACGCCAGGAAATGGTATTGAAATATGGTACTATATTAAGGTACCACTTTATATGCATCATAGTACCATCATATTACAATGTAACCGAAGAAGATACGTAGTATAACAAGTTTAAGCCCAATCAGACGCCAGGAAATGGCATCGTAATATGGTACTATATTATGGTACCTCGTATTATGCTCCATGGTACCATAATATTACAATATCACCAATATACGTAGTATACCAAGTTTAAGCCCTATTGCCGCCATGTACCTAATATTGCTATGTCATCAAATATGGTACTATATAAATTACCACTTTATATGCTCCATGGTACCATGATATTACAATGTCACTGAAGATATAGTATACCAAGTTTAAGCCCAATCGAACGCCATGTATCGTACTATAGTACTATATTATGGTATCACTTGATATGCTTCTGAAAAAACGGCGTCAGTTGGCTGAAAGGACGATCGACGACATTTCCCATATAAATTACATATAAAATGACAGCGATATTCATTTCATAGCTATCGCTAACGCCGTTTTTTCCCGATTATACGATATGAACTTGGTATGAACACAATTGAACGTCAGGAAGTGGTATCATAATAGTAGAACAATACTTATTATATAGTCGCCGAATTACAATGAAAATTCAGGATTCAATTATACAATCAAACGTCAGGAAGTGATTGTAATTTAGCTCATAAGATTTAATTCCAACTAACATGGCAAACTGAAAAAAACAGCTCTGATCTATTTTTTAATATGTTTAAATGATGTAGCAAATTTGAAGGTAGGCTTTATCAGGAAGTATTACGATATGAATTACACAATGGCAACACTGCACAAAATTCTTTTAAATTTTGTTTGTAGAAAACTGTTTTCTTTTAAATTTATTGCCCTCTATTATGTAGTAGCGAAACTACCACATCAAAATATCTGATTTGGAGACAGGCTTTTAAAGTCTGTCTCCTTTTGCTACCTACAATTTTATACATGTAACGAGGCTTCTGTTGCGTAGCTAGATATTCTGTGCTTGGACCCTTGAATTACTTCCGAGGGCTCACTAAATAATAAAGAACCTGTCCTTCCTTCCATGTGACATTCTGGAGGACAAAAGAAAAGGGACGCCAACGTGCCAGCAAAATACAATTACAAGTTAGGTTGGGCCATCCGCAACTCTACCCTGTAGCTTCGAAATAGCAGCTGATTCAGATTACACAGCAAGATTTAAATAATCACCATTTCTAAAAAACTGGGACTAATGGCGTCTGACAGGCCAAACGTTCAAACCATAGAGAAATATGGTTCAAACCAAAAGTGAAGTTAAATCACAGAGAGTTGACAGAAGCGATGTTGACAGCGCGCGCCTCCACAGAGCGATAACAGGGTTGTGTCAAACGAAAACAGGGTTGTGGACTAGAGAACGTAAAAATTCGTCAAATAAATCATCAGGCCCGAACGATACGGAATCGGGTGACGATATGCCCAGACATCATATATTATATATAAAAAAGATATGTAACGAACTAAAAACGTTACAAATTTGTGTTGACGCAAGTCTAATAGCAACCTTTAAAAAAATTTAATATCATTAACTTGCGAAAGTTTTAAATAAGTACCCATTGATTCCTCATCAAAACATATGAAAAAAAGTTCCTATAAACATGGGTACGGAAATGCACAGTAGAGTAGAGTTACAGGAATAGTAGAATAGAGTTACAGGATGTTAAAACTTTTTATAATTAGGTTTTTTGTAATTATCTTAAATACCATTATTTTTTATTTCAAATTGCTGTAGGTTGGACTAATAGAAATATTTTATATAATAAATTAGGTAAAATTTTTATTTTATTAATTTTATTAATTATCTCATCAAGGAAGCCGAATTCGACAAAATATCAAGAGATACCTTTTAATTGTCATATACAATATTGATATCTAAAGAAAAAAAGTCAGTGGCGTACATGTTATTTATTTTATTGAAAAAGACTCCAGTGATAACCCATATGCACGTCCATGATGAATTTATCGATACTTTTTTAGCATTAAAATATGTAGCACTTATAAGAACTTTTACCCTCAAAATTTCATTGGAATCACTAAAAGTACTTGGAAGAAAATTATAATAAACCGAAAGATTATTAATATTTTAACACCCTGTAGCTACAAAACAAAGCAGAATCAGACCTATGTTGATATAAAAAATAAATCTTATTTTTACGCGAGGAATCGCCCCACGAGCGATGGCACATGTTTTTTAAACATCCTGTATGTATTATATGATTAAACTGTAATTTTTTTACCAGCTATTTCCAATTCTCCACTTTCCCTTGCCCATCCACTTAAAGTTAGGGAAGTTGGAACGTCTGGAGGTAAAACGATTGTTTCTGGAACCGACTCGAACACAACTCCGGACGTTAACAGACGCATATTGCTGACTTTCAGTTCGAACGGCAGAGGATTAATCAGTTTTAGGGAAACTTCGCAAACCTCATTCTCAACCCATAAGAAATCTAAAAAAAACATAGATTTAGTAAGAACAGATATCACATTGTGCATTTTAACCCGATCAAACAATCGGAGGTTGACTACGTACTGTAAAAACCAACTGAGATAGAGAAGGCGACATTGCCACATCTCAAATTTGCGCCTATCTACTTAGTTTGATTTGCAGAAAAGGTGACTTTAAAACCTGCACCGGATATCAATAAATCTCAATTTCTTAATTAAATTAATAGTTTATTTTTAAAGAAGCATGCATAATAATATGTTATTAACCAGAGGATATATGCGTTACTATTAAAGGACATGTTTACTGTGTAATGTGCTGAAACGTCTAGAACTATTGGCAACGTCGCTGCTAGCCTTCAGAATGAAATGAGCCGTCCGCCCCACTTACCACCCCTCGCCTCGTAACGGCCCCTTGGTCCGTTATAGCGTACTACGTTTAGCTTAAATTAATGTTTGAAGTCGGAATCAAGTCCGAAGTGAACTTTTCAGTGTTTTCAGTAGTTTTTGTTTTTTTGTTTAACGTACTTTTGAATCTGCCAATTTTCTATATGCTACGACAGTGTCAAATGTGTGGAAAAATAAGCTCAAATTACCCGAATTTGTCTTTTCACAGGTAGGTATTGTTTCCGCCGTAATCGCCGTACATAGGCGTCCCACAAGGGAGCCTCTCACAATTAAAATAATTTCTAATTATATTTGTTGAATTTTGATCTATTAAAACAAGAACGTAGTAGCCAGTATTTGAATTATAATTCGTCTCAAACTACCTAACTGTTGTAGATCATAACAAATTTGAATATAAACGTTGCATTTGAAACTTTATTATAAGCCAGAAAGTGACATTTTTTTTAAAATTGCATCATATTTTGGTCATTATATACGATATTCTAAAGGAATTTTGCTCAACAAATAAACAAAGGTGTTTACCTGACCTTTTTTACATTTTATTGCTTTATTATATCTTATATCTGCCCCTTCGGTCTTGTTTAGACAATTTTTTACCACTGTACAATACAAATACCTCTTCCTAGAGTTATTTGTACGGTGTGTTTACCTTTTTTTAGAATGGGACGAACTGTAAATAATTCTTAGGCTACTAGTTTTATACATACCTATATACAGACTGACCCAGGCCTCCCAGAAAGCTTTTTACCTATTACGTTTTTGGTTTGTGATTTTTATTTCAATTTTTTACATAAAATCGGGGCCATTGTAACGCACATTTTCAAAATATTTTTGTCAACATACAGGGTGATTCAAACCGCAATACATATGCTTAATACAGTTCATGAAGATTGGGACATTTAACTAAAATTTGATTGTCTGATGTAGCTACCTAAGTAATGAATTTGTAAATAAACGTAATATTCATTATTATGCGACAGAAATCCCATACAGTAGCACCCAGATTTTATACTTTTAACGATAAATGCCTTCGATTGAGAGACTAAAAGGTAATTGCCTCGTATCAGAGCCATCAGCCATCATAATACGAGAAGAAGACCGAAAGTCAAATCTTGTCTTATATTTTCAAAAAAACACATTTTCTCATTAAACTAAATATTGATTTTAGGCATAGGAAGTTATTAATAATACAAGATTAAACAACTATTACACAGTACTTCACAGGAAGCTATCGATTGCGAACTAAATCGTTATTTGCGAACTAAATCGTTACTAATTACTAATTTTGAAAAGTTCTTTTTAAGATCAAAAAAGGTAAAACTAAAACCTAAACTATCATTTGAGAATAAACGGGAAGTTCTAAATAATGTTGCTTATTCTAAACAAGAAAAATTTATAAGTTTTAAAACATCTCTAATTAAATTTGGACAAAAAGAATATTTCTGTTTGCTGTAGGTAATTTTCTCAGGAAAAATACGTAAATAAAAATGACTTTTTAAGTCAAAAAAAGTCAAAAGGACAAGTTATTCCAAAAAAGGACTGTCCTTTTCAAAAAAGGACAGGTGGCAACCCTAGGTATTTCTGGAATAGAAATTTAATGGCAAATCTACAACTTTAGTTTGAAAATATGTTCCGGCCACCTATGTTTACACGTCTAAAATGTGCTTTACCATTGCCTCCATATTCTAAAAAAAAATGAAAGAAAAGTCACCAACCACAAACCTAATATAGAACTGTTTCGGAAGCCTGAGTCACCCTGTAAATATTCAAAAGTAACTGAAAGTTTATATAGAAGTAACTGAAAGTTTAAATTGAATATCGACGTTGGAGCGATTTTCGAAAACTACCTACTAACGTTTCAACATAAGTATATGTGGGATATCAATTATATTATTATATTAGACCTTATAACAAAACTCATCTAACGAAAAGTGTTAATGTAGTATATTAATATGGAGTAAAAAATTTTACTAATTACTTTACTTTTACTTTACAAATTAAATTCGTTCCAAAAAACGATACGCCACTGGCCATTAGAACAATCCAAATGCGCCTAGTTGCCGGGGTCGGAAATTTTAGACTTCTCTGTCTCTTCTGTCCTTGTTTGACACATTGGAATGTTTGATACACTACCAACGAGTATTTATGAATGAGATGTTTATCTTTATAATGTCTTTGAAAAAAAATATTACAAAATTCTACGATATCGTACGACCGCTATAAAATAAGACTTCAATTGCTACGTACCCATTTTAGGATTCGATTTATCTTTCCTCCTATCCAGACTCCCAGTACCGAAATGTATGGGCGTAAACAAGAACGGCCCCGTATCCTCCTTCTCTTTCTCGATCACCTTCGGCCTCAAGTGCGGCTTCGAATCCCTCAAAACAAACCCGGCGCACAACGGAATATCGGTAAGATTTGCAGGCGGTACCACCACGCCCGAATCGAGCACCAACGGCACGGGGGAACCCTCGCACTGCACGGAAAGGCTCTGCAATTGGATGGCCAGTTCCTTTTGCTCGGTGGGGCTCAAGTGGGGCCACATGGTCTGCAGGAGGAATGTCATGTGACGGGTGGCTAGGGCGGAGTAGCCTGCCCGTTTCGCCGCAACTATAAGGTCCTGTATAAGAAAATTACAGAATATACAGGGTGTCCAATAGGGTGAGCCTAATTCATTAAGTTCATTATTTAATTTAAAAAAATAAATCGTCATTGTTGGCAAATATATGCAAAAAAAAAGCTTTAAATAAATATTGCATGGTTTAAAAATGTGCACATCCTAAAAGCATTTTGTTGTATACAGACTGCCCAAAAAAAAGTAAAGATAAAGTTGTAAGTTTTGTTTAAATTGCAACCCCTATTTTTCGGTACTGTTTTGGGTTCAGCACAAAATTCAGCATTAAGTACACTATTTTTATTTAAAGTACTATGCGGTGTTGCCATGTCATTTCTTATTTACTAAAGGTTTGATTAAAAACAGTGTATCCGAAAAATGGTATAAACCTTCAGTAAATTATTAGTAAAGTAATTATTAATACAAGTAAAGTATTATTATTAACGTTGACCTATATTTTCGTAAACGTCAAAAATAACACAATAAAACAGCAAAGGAAAACTCAAATTATCTTATACAGGGTATTTTTTATGCCATGGCCAACACTGCAATGTTCATAATGTCTCATGGCCAACACTGCAATGTTCTCAATTTTTTTAAATGCAAAATGCAACACCTTGTATATTATTTTTTATTTTAAAGGCCGAATTAAAAAACGAATATTTTTTGTAGTTAAAGTGTTGCAAAATAAAAACACTAAATCACCACAATACACCAAAACACTTTTATTTTACACTGGACGCGCGTTTCGCTAACCATGTTAGCATCATGAGCAGATGATTATAAACTAAACTAAACTATAAAGTTAAAGCGTTCCTAAATTTTTAACGGTTTCGCAGATATTCGCGGTATTATACAGGGTATCCCAGAAATAAGTACAGATATTTTAACTGGTAGTAGGTATATTTCGACTCCAGAAATACGCCTATAAAGTTTTTTCGCGAAAATTTTTTTTGAAAATTTGGAATTTTTTTAAAAAATGTTTGGAAATTTTTTTTGGTTTTTAGTTAAAAAAACATTATTTCTTGACAATATGGCAAAATATGTTTCTTTTATTGAGATCCACCACCCTTTAAAATATCTGTACTTATTTCTGGGACACCCTGTATATATTACTCATGGCCATGGCCCTGAAACTTTTACGCGAATTTTTAGTATAGTTATTTTTACTCTTTGATCATAGTTAAGATAATTTGTTATAGCAAAAAAATGTATTTTTTTAAGACAAAATGTGTGATTTGTTTCAATACAACTATAAAAATTAGAGTTTATTATATTTTAAATATAATCTATAATAAGATACTATAAGAAGTAATTTTTTTACCTGTAAAATTTGAATTTGAAGAACTGCCCAACCCTGGTCAGCTTCCTGCATCTCGATTGGATCCAATAAAAGCTTATGCCCTGATAAACTTTGCAGCATTAGAGTGTAACACCTACTCCAGTTTGGATTGGGATTTTGTGGAGAAACATATCTAAATACAGAAAGGAAAAAAATAACTAAAAACTACATTCAAACCTAAAATTATATATTATTAATTTACCTAGTTGCGGCTAGTCTCAAACAGAACGCAGCCTTTCTATTAAATCCAATTTGTGTATACAAATCAGCCAGTGTCTCAAACCTCTGTATTTTTTCTTGCTCCGACAAAGATAAATTAATATAAACAACATTTTGCAAAAAACTAGCAGCTTGTAATGCATGATTCTGTTCCACGGCTATTCTAGCAGCTTTAAAACTAGCCTCAGTCTCAATAATACCAGCGTTCTGGTACTTACTATAGTGAATTATAGCTTCCCTGTATCTTTTTGATATATCATCAGGCGCCAGTACGTTTGGAATGTTTTTACGCACAACTGTGGGGTTATTTTGGTGTGCTTCAGGGTTAGGTTTCTTAGGGGAACCTTCCGGTAAGCTTCCTATACGTTGAAAATGTTCATTTCTTTGCATATTTGGGTACAAAACTAACGCAGATGCAGCTGCAAGGCCTTCGTAAGCTGCACCAAGCCATAACCAATCGTTTACACCTTTCAAAATGTCCGCCGCATTTGTGTAATACTGTAAACTCTCAGCTATTAATCCTGCTTGCAAACAAAGATCACCCAAATGTTTAGTCATTCTTCCGGTACATCTTTTTTTATTTTGACGCGATTCCATATCCAAACCAACAAAATCTTTTTTCTCAAAGGGCGCATACAGTAAAGACACTCTCTCTAACTTTTCCCGAGATCTTTCAAGCTTTTTTGACTCCAAAACCCAGAACAATGAGTTAATAAACTCAGTAATCTGGTTTTCTAGATCAGAACAAACTGAAGATTCTTCATAGAATAAAGCTCGGGTTTTAAAGTTACTGGGGGTGGTGTATTCTTCTACGGTGGTTTTAGGATCAGAAGTATCTTCAGAGCTACTCGAAACATCCGTTGGAGAACCACTAGTACTATCTTTAGCCGGTCCAAACAAGACACATCTTGAATCGTAAAGAGTTGCATTGTATTTCACCTTTAAACTCTCATGAACTCTGCATACTTCGTTCAGTTCAGTTTGGGAATCATACTTGCCTAAAGAAACAAGCCCTAAAAGCCTTCTGTGTGTCTGAAAGTCGCCCCAATCGTTGTTTTCAACTGGATGTTCTTTAACAAAGCGAACCGTTATGTTTCGTACTTGTCCAGTGGAGTCTGTTATTTTTACCTCGTTTATCTTGGAAATTCGGTCATAGAACTTATTAAAAGTTTTGGGTTTTAACTGGGAACCTATGTGCTTCAAAAGAATCAATATCGCCGCGTGATCATGAGAGAATTGTTCATAATCTGGGTGAGACATGTTTGGTTCGGTTGTGCTGGACGACAAAATATAACTTACAGATGAACGCATTGGTAAAACAACATATAAAACTTATTCATTTATGTTATAAATATATTCGTAATTGTTAAAACATATTTTTTACACTACTAGTTCTTTGAAAAAACAAAAATCAGCTGATTCGGATTTTTAAAAACATCCAATTTGACATTTCTGTCAAAAGTAGTTCAAATGAACAGTCAATAATGGAACAAGTTCAAGCAAAAAAAAACGCATAAATTCCAAATGAATAAAATATAAGTCGCATAATATTTCCTCGCTTCATAACAATGAGTAGATGAAAACGAGCAAAAGTATCATATTGACGTAATTTTAAATTTTGTGCGATGACGAGGACGCGATCGACGCATTCAAAAATTTCGTCGATAAACTAGTAATGGTGATGTATATCGATATTAAAAATGGTATCGATGTTTTATCGAGAGCTGCAGATGTTTATTATAAACTTTAATTTTACTGTATATATCAGTATTTCTACTCTTTTTGTGTAATGAATACTAAATAATTCTTGTTACAGTTGGGGATTGAACCTTTGGTGTTTTGACTGTTTTGTTGTACTTTAAAACACTGAACAGTGTTCAAAAGTAAAGTGCTTTATTTTGCTACTAAGTAAATTTCTAACGTATTTACTTACGTATATAGAATGTTTACCAAAGTTTAACAAAAAAAATAATTTTTATGATACAGGGTGTTTCATAATAAGAATAAGTGCGACAATAATATGTGATAACAAGATGATTTTTAAGATAAACAAAAGTACCGTATGATCGAGAAAAAACGGCGTCAGCGATGGCTATGAAATGAAGATCGCTGTCATTTTATATGTAAAATTATATGGGGAATGTCATCGATGTCCATTTCAATACCTAGTATAGTTAGGATTTCAGGACATTTCTTGTATTTTTAACATTTTTTTTGTTGAATTTCATGCTTTGTAATATGTATAAAGTAAATTTTTATTTTTGTTAACGTCAATTTTGTGTGTGCAATAAAATTTTATAGATGTAACAATTTTTTTGAACATTTATAACGCTTTACTATATTAGTTTATATATTTTTTTAATATTTCGAAAAAAAGTAAGAAAACTATCGATAAAGTTATCGATACCGTCGCCCGTCCCTATACCAGAACTCAATTTTCCCCCCACTCCTCCACTACTAGTTGTCAAATTAATTTTCTGTTTGTGAGAAGGTGAAGTTCAACAAATTATTAAGAGTAAAAAATCTGTTCGAATAATTAGAACAAAAAGATCGTCATGAGCGAATTGAGGAAACGCGGAAAGTCCGAATTAAACAACGAGTCTTTCGTGGAAGGTAAGAGTTTTAGGGCAAAAATAAACAGCAATTAACATGTGTGTGATCTACTACCATCAAAAAATTTGTACCTTTGTGACCCTCCACGATTACGACTATTTATACATTACTGTAGCTAATTCATTTATTAATAATTTACAACGCATTACAGTGCGCCAGAAAAATATGTATTGGTCGCTATTCCAAAGGTTTTTGAACGTGTACAAGGTTATATATTTTTTTTTGTGTCATATATTGTATGAACATAATAAGTAGGACATTTTTTTCAGTTTTAAGTTCCTTCTCTGTTTTAGATTTGTCCGACATCGGGGACACATTGAGCACACCACAAGCAGTACCGATAATTTTGGCCAATAACGATCATAGTTTCAAGCTTGACGAAGAAGCCCTAAAAAAAGTTTTATTAAAAGACGAACTCAAAGACCGATACGTTGTAGTTGTGTCAGTGGCTGGAGCTTTTAGACATGGAAAATCATTTTTACTTGATTTCTTTCTTCGTTACATGAATTCAAAGGTAAATACAAATCCGTGCATAATAATTTTTATTGTTCCAATCGAGTTTAATGTAACCATTTATTCATTTTGGTTTATTACTGATTTGATTGTGCTGAAAGTAATTGGTTTTTTAATTATGGGTGTTTTTTTTATGTATTAAGTTAAATAAGTGATTAATTTTTTAGTATGTTCAAAAACAAAATATATCCGATTGGATAGGATCGGAAGATGCTCCATTAACCGGTTTTTCGTGGAAGGGGGGTTCTGAAAGGGATACCACTGGTATTTTGATGTGGTCTGAGGTGTTCCTAACCGAGCTTGCCACAGGAGAGAAGGTAAATTAGTTCAAACGCACCAAGCAATTATTATGATCGATTTAAAATTTATTGTAGGTTGCTATAATTCTGTTGGATACCCAAGGGACATGGGACAGTAAAAGTACAGTAAAAGAATGTGCTACAATTTTTGCATTAAGTACAATGATCAGTTCTGTGCAAATTTATAATTTGTCCACTAATATACAGGAGGATGATTTGCAGCATTTACAGGTAGGTATAGTGAATTTAATATTGATTATTATAATTTTTTATTTATTTTAACTTTCTATAATAATGCACAATAATTTTTAAATGTATTTTTTTTTGTTATGGTTAAATAATACACCTTTGTTCAGTGAATGGATAAAATAAAACCAATTTTTCTCTTGATTGCACTGCAAATTAAGCATATCTAACGATTTTTATAGTTGAATAAGTTTGTTGTAATCTTGGTATTTTATTTGTTTGAAGTTTTAATTTATTATAATCATATATTTTATAATTTTTACTTAAAATATGTCAGTACTTGAATAAAATATATTATGCTCTAAAATTTAATTGAAATATAAAATAATCTTGTTATCTATTGATTTAATTATTGATTAAATTAGTTCTTAACGTGTATCACTTATATGGAATATTTTTTATTAAATTAGTACATACTTAATTCTTGGTTTTATAATAATATGGGTTTTTGAACTAGATTAAAAACTATTGAAATTATTTTATAGATAACAACTAAAATCAGAGTCTTATATAATCAGAGATAATAACAATCTCAATAAAATCAATAAAATAATAACAATCAATAAAATCAGAGATAATAACAATCTGGTGTTTTACTACATAATTTAAACTTAGTGATTTTTATTATAAAATCAAATTACTGTAAGATCGAAAAAATTGATGATAATTTTGGTGAGGTCAATCTATAGACGTTTTTTTTTCGATTCTTCAACTACACCATTTAAAAATATTTTTTACTCAATATCAAAATAAATTTCAACCTTCAATAAAGAAGAGAACGGACCAAGTAATGACATCCAAGGCTTGACCTCGCCAAAATTATCATCGATTTTTATTCCCTAGCCGTCCTCGATGGCGTTTTTTTTTTTGATCATATGGTATATCTTTAAAATTAAGAAAAGCGTGGCATTGAGGGTACAGTCTCGCTGTTAAATGTATAAATTTGTAATATTCAGATAGGTTATTGTTTTTATTGTTGTGCATTGTTCTTTGCACTCTGATGGCTATACATGGTACTTTCAATGAGTGACGTCACACACGCCGTTGTTCTGAATTTGAAATGTTAGATTTAGATTTTTTTTCCTTTTAAATTTGAGATAAAATTGGAAAAAATAAGGGTAAACATAAAATTGTATAAAGATTGATTATTCGTAATAAAAAGAAAATGGTAAAATATTATTTAGGATAAAGAATTCTACACTGGATTTTTTCTCGTTTTCTTATAGCTTTTTACGGAATACGGCCGATTGGCTTTGGCCGATTCCGGCAAGACGCCCTTCCAACGTCTCCAGTTCTTGGTGAGGGACTGGCGATTCCCTTACGAAGCTCCATATGGTGCTGTGGGAGGTCAACAGATACTGACCAATCGGCTGGAGGTCAGCGACAATCAGCATCCCGAGCTGCAATCGCTCAGGAGGCACATCAGGGCTTGCTTTTCCGAGATCGCCTGTTTTCTGATGCCCCATCCAGGGAATAAGGTGGCCACGAGCCCTACGTTTGACGGCAGACTGTCAGGTGAGGCCATCAGAGTTGCCACAAGCTACACAATTGTGTATTTTGCTACACATTTGCTACCATGATTGCACAGCTACACCACAATCGCCTGTGCTACACATTTTGAGAATTTACATATTTCTTATAAAAAATAATACCAAAACCGTAAATCAGCTGACATAAGCTGTTTTTTTTTGCTTTTGAGTTATCTAAGTTACATTAAAAGAGGCCGCAAGTAAACTTTAAATTTTGAACCGACAAATATCATTTTCCGTCATCTTCAGGTGTTCAGTAAAATGTCAGAGTATGAACTGGATCGTGAATTAAGGACCTTAATTGGTCGAGTCAAAAACGGTAAATAGACAGGATCAAAGAGACAGGATTGTTTAATTCCTTAAATAATACGTAACACCTCTGATAACACGTACTTTGGTTAGGTTTGCTCAATTACGTCATCGTTACGTCACACTTCCACGCCACTCGTAGGCATACGTGAATAATATTCAATTCCTATTTCACTTCCTCCCATATCAGCAAGAACTGCAGTTTATATGGACAAATTTGGCCGATTAAACAGTCCTGAATTGTTTACAATTTTTAAAGAGACTAACCGGTCTAATTTGACCATAAAATCGTTAGTTTCGTTTTCGTCTTTTCGTGACATCAATTTTGACGTAGTTGCGGGGGGATGAATATATTGACATGATATTGACGTATACAAACGAGTGGAAGTGAGACTCGTAATCATGCTTTAAAATTTGGCGAACGTACGTCTTTTTCTTGGTCTCATTGGATAGTTTACAATTATTGGTCATGGATGGCTACACAATGCTACACATTTTTATGGTCAAGTTCTACACAATCAAAAATTTTCTTGTGGCAACCCTGGAGGCCATATATATTACCATTTTGATGTAGATTGTTTACATGATCTGCAGGGTTGGGTAGGTCGAAAATTTTATATTTTCTACCGTATTTTCTACACGTAGAAAATTAATTTTCTACATTTTTTACATGTCCAGACGTAGAAAATTAGGTTTGTATATTGTAAACCGTTCTTTGGGTTTATATTTATTTCAAATACTTCAGTTACAACGATTAGTGCAAGAAATAAACTAATAACGATATCTCTAATTGTTATTTATTATTTAACAAAGGGATAGTATATAGTATGTCAAAAAAAACTTAACTATTAACTTCCATACATGGGCGCCGGAAGAATGAAATTTAGGGGGGGGCAAGGTAAAAATGAATAAAAAATTGACATTTTTGGTAATTATTGGGAAAACTGGAAATCATCCGATTTTCACCAAAATTGGTATACACCCTATTTTGAAGTTGTAGATTACGAATTTGAACGTTACGAATCTTTTTTCTTGGCGGTCTCTTACCGTTTTTGAGAAAAACGGAAAATAATTTCAATATCGAATTTTTCTTAATTTCTCATATGTTTAAGGTTTTCTAGCACATATTTTGTTAGGTATTCAATAATCAATAATGTTTTTGCTCTTTTCTGTTACTTTTTTAACCAATTCTATGCATAATAGAGGAAAATTTGTTAAAATAAATTTGTAAACAATCTGAAAATGTTAGATTATGGCTTTGTTCGGGTTCTTGTTATTACCGATTCTGAACCGTCCAAGAACTCTGCAGCGCATGCGCAAATGAAGTAATGTCTTCATATTTCCTTCTGCGCATACACATCACAGTTCTAGGACGGTTCAGAATCGGTAATAAGAGAAACCCGAAGTAAGTTTATGTCTTTCTGGCATTTAAAGCAACGTTGCCAATGTTAAACCTAAATTTAGCGTGTTTTTTTCGCTCATTCTGGAATTACGAAAGGCGGTCGCCAGAAGAACGGCTCCTTCCCATAACTGCTATTTTACCAACGAGATCTGACTATTTATACCCACGAAGTTGCACGAAAAAGTTTTGATTGCATTGGTTACAACTTCCATGCAGAGGGTGTTAATCTTTTGTTGTTATATTATTAGATTAACTAAGAAAAGATTAACCTCCTCCGCAAAGAAGTTAAAACCAATGCAATCAAAACTTTTCCGCGTAATTTTGTGGATATTGGTGTATATTTAATTATTGTTGATCTCATAATAGGTAATTTATTTAAAATCCGTAATCACCCGAAAAAATAGAAGATATGGCAACGTTGTAAATTTTCAAATTTCTAGATTAGGTCTAGAATAAATTTGTCTCTCTTATTACATAGGAGAGAGAAAGAAGGATATATCAAATGTCAAACTTCCATCTGGTCTCAATTTTCTTTGCTATTTTGTTAAGAAAAGTGTTTTTCAGTAAAATGTTGGACACTTTTCTATCCCCAATCAAGTGTGGCTTTTAGATAAACTATAATATAATGAAAATATAGTGAAATTATTACTTTATAGGGCCGAAATAAAGAAAAATTCAATGTTGAAATAATTTTCCGTTTTTCTAAAAAACGGTAAGAGACCGCCAAGAAAAAAATAGATTCGTAATCTGCGACCTCAAAATAGTGTGTATACCAATTTTGGTGAAAACCGGACGATTTCCAGTTTTCCCAATAATTACCACATTTTTTATTATTTTACAGGTAACACCTAACAATTTCATAATAATGATTATTTTTTTTACAGATGGATGTAAGAAGATAGCTTTTATTTTTATTGTTTCAGTGATCCAGGGGGGGGGGCAAATGCCCCCTCTTGCCCCCCCTGTCCGGCGCCCATGCTTCCATATTATTTTAAATTAATATGTACAATGGGAGGATGCGTGACAGTGATTGTTGTGTCATTATAACTCACAGGCATATCGTATTTTCTCTCATCTTCTGTTTGGGCAGTTTGGTTGTTTATAAAAACTCAAATTATAAAACGACCTAGGTTTTTGTATCGTTTATCGCGTATAATGTTGGGTTTAGTCAATATAAATCAATATTTAAATTTTTAATATGGAAAAAAAATTAGTTTTAGTTGCCCTAGCTTTGTCGTAGCTGAGGGTTTGAGATGCAGCTCGAAATTTGTGTAGGTAATAATTCATAATTTTCTGGTTCTGGATAAATGATGAACTCTTCTTGACTGATTCTGGAATAGATATTTTCAAATAGACAAATATGGCGGTTTAAAATTAATTTTCTAGGCGTCGTTACCCAACCCTGGTGTAAATATCTTTAAACGGGTTAGAATTTTTCTTTTTTTTTTACAGAAATCGATCAAGAATTCAAGGACAACCTGAGGATTTTAGTACCAATGCTGTTGGCGCCGGAAAATCTGGTTTTGAAGAAGATCAACGGGGAGAAGGTGAAGGTGCGCGATTTCGTGCAGTACTGCAAGTCGTACATGCAGATCTACGAGGGGAACGAGTTGCCCGAACCCAAGTCTATGTTGGTGGTAAGTCATTTTTTTCACGCCCCTGTATTATAGGTACGCTGTTTCTAGTGTTAACGGAAATATTTTAATAATTATATTACACAAAATAATATAAAAGTATTCGAAAAACAACAAAGTTTATTTAAGGTGTATTAAAGAGTATAAAAGATAAGACATTAATTCGTTAATAAAGTACATAAATTTTCCTATGTAATGTACCTTATATTTTAAAATCGAATCTATTAAAAAACTTTGAATCATTTTTGGTATTTCGGTGGGCGTAAGAGATAGATATATTTATAAAATTCTATAAGTAATTATTTTTAAATAGCAATGTGATATTACCTAATATCTATTAGTTCAATTAGAATATTATTATTCTATATACTTGAAAGTTTATTTTCAATTGTTAAACTGAAAACAAATAATCATTTTAATCTTAATGCATGTGTATTTCTTAAAAATTAGATCTTGTTTCTTTTTTTTGAAAGGACAATCCTTATCAATTAACTTTTTTTTTAATATTTAAGCTTATAAAACCGTGCGTAAACAATTGATTTATTTATCTTAATTAAAGTTTTTAAGCATAGACTGCGTTCAAGGCAAGATTAGTTGTCATATTGCTGAATGCAGCTAAAAAAATATTTTAATCGAATAGCAATTTTTTATGGCTTTTTTAAGAGTTATTTTATGATTGATTAGCGGTTTGCAATGTATATGCTTACATTATTTTTTTTTTTTCAATTTAATAACGCCTAAGTATAGTCTATTAAATAACTTTGAATTTTGGCCGTTATTTTTCACCAACATGGCAAATATAAAATCCCTCTGTCAAAAAAGTTACTAATCAGATAGGTAACTCTTTTTTAGTTTCGTGAAATAGAAAGGAAAATAATAAAACAAGTGACAGTTCTTTTCTTCTCTCAAAAATCGACACGAAATGTCATAATTGTCAAAAGTAAAATGTCATCAGCTTTTGACATTTCTAAATATCAGACAACAAAGAAAGATGCATGGCCGCAAGTTGCTAACCTAATAAAATTAACACTAGAAAATCCCGCGGGAACTGTCAAATTCAAAGTTATTCGTTTCACAGACTATAAATGTAACCTTTTTCTTTGTAAATGTATTTTTTATATAAAATTGCAAATATGTACCGATAATTTATAGGCAAAATGTATTTTTATATGGGCTTATCATATTGTCTCATTTTGGGTTGTTATTTCCTGGTTAACATGTATCGACAATTTGTTTTCAGCAGCGTCATCAATCAATTATCTTAAAATCCCCTAAAATGTATTGCCAACTTTGTGAATTGTTCCGTATGATAATTCTTGTCTCAGGCAACCGCGGAGGCGAACAATCTGGCAGCGGTGGCCGACGCCAAGGACGTCTACATCCAGCTGATGGAGGACGTGTGCGGCGGTGCCAAACCGTACTTAAAACGGAAGCTATCGAGACCGAACACAGGAAGGTCAAGGACAAGGCCATCGAACAATTCAACAAGAAGAAGAAGATGGGAGGGGACGAATTCAGTGCCATGTACAAGGACCAATTGGAAAAGGTATTTATAACGTCATTTATTATTAATATATTTTAAAATATTGTCAAATGTAGGGAAAAAATATTGAAAAATACCGTTTTTTATTAACGTTTTGAAATATTTTATTTGGAAAATATTTTTTGGTTTTACATTTTTTATGTACTTACGTAAATTTTTCACTCTACGATAATTTTCAAATTGTTGTCAACTTTTACAATATTTTGATTACTGAAGCCAACTCATAAAAAATGAAACTATTTAGGAAAATCTTTGTCTTTGGGGTAGGCAATCTTAATAGTTATTTTGAAGATGTTTCTTCTAGAGTCCTAAAAATCAATTAATTTCAGCGGTTCCCAAAATGTTCAAAGTTAAATAACTCGGTTACACAAGGTGGAGTTACACAAGGTTACCACAAGGTGGAGTAACCCCCCTTGCTGTGGAGCTTGGTGGTGGATGAACTACTAGATGAATTAACTCTAGCGGGAATACACTGCATTGGGTATGCAGATGACGTAGTCATGATCGCTCGGGGAAACATGAAGGCACCTTGTGTGATATTATCCAAAGAGGACTCCGTATCACTGAGAGATGGTGTAGGACTGTCGGGCTGAGTATCAACTCAGAAAAAACCGCGATAGTGCCATTCACCAGAAGGCGAAGTCTGAAAACCTTGAAAAGAATCCAACTAGATGGAAAGGAAATACTGCCAACACAGGAAGTTAAATACCTGGGAATAACCCTGGACAGTAAACTCCTGTGGAACAGGCATATTAAGAACACTACCAGCAAAGCCATAAAGGCTCTCATGATATGCAGAAGACTGGCCGGAAATAGATGGGGCTGCTTCCCTAACATTTTGCGCTGGATGTATACCATGATAGTAAGACCCATGATTACTTATGGAGCAGTTGCCTGGTACACAAAACTAGAGCAACGGACGGCAAGGCTAAACCTATGCAAAGTCCAGAGACTAACATGCGTTTGCATCACAGGAGCCATGAGAACCTGTCCAACAGCAGCAATGGAGGTCATTCTAGATCTAACACCACTGCACATTGTCATTGGTAGATATGCCAATGCGACATTGATTAGAATGGTCACTAACGGAATTAGTACTGGGAGAATTGTCAGATCAGGGGCTTGGAACACCCTCATAAAGGAAATACCACTCCTGCAACTCCCAGTGGACGATATGCTAAGAACGTACAACTTTGAGAAACATCTCCATGTAGTATTGAGCAATAAAAAGGATTGGAAGAGCGAAACGCTTGCCCAGCAGTTAAAAGACCATACCATAACTTGGTATACTGATGCTTCCAAAACCAATACGGGAACAGGGATCGGAGTGTTTGGGCCGAGAGCTAAATACTCCGAACCAATCGGCACTTACCCTAGTATCCTACAGGCAGAAATCTACGCTATCGAAAGATGCATACAACTTATCTTAGATAGGAACTATCGGAAACAAGAAATAGCCACCTTGTCTGATAGTCAAGCAGCGTTAAAAGCGATCAACTCAGTATCAATCCATTCGAAATTGGTCAAAGAATGCATAGAGAAGCTGAATAAATTAAGCAAAGAAAACAAAGTCCTCCTACACTGGGTGCCTGCTCACCAAGGGATAGAAGGCAATGAAAAAGCAAATAATCTAGCTAGGAAAGGAGCGAACACTCCACTAACTGGACCAGAACCGTTCTGTTTCCGCAACCTGAAATGGAAATCTTGCAATGGTCTAAGACACTCGAAGAAGTTTCTGAGGGCTTATGATCAAGAAAAATCACAGCTCTTCCTGGGTCTGAGTAAGAACAATCTTCGGATTGTCACGGGGTTTTTAACAGGACACTGTCTCCTCAATGGACACCTCAGTAGATTGAAACTAAGAAGAAACGGCGAATGCAGATTCTGTGGGAAAGATGGGGAAACACCAGTACACCTCATCACTGAGTGCGCCGAGACGACAACCATTCGTGCCATGAATTTTGGTACGACTGATATTGGAGATGGAGAACTACCCTCTATAAAACCGTCCCAGATACTGGCTTTTGTCAAAGCCCTGGGACTGTATGATGAGTTATGATTCAAGAAAGGGGGACACAATGGATCTGTAAGGTCGAAGTGATTAACCCCCCTCCCACTCATTCTAAATTCTAAAAAATTCTAACTCGGTTATTTTTAATTTACTTTAAAAATGGTAAAGAGAGAGAAAATATGTTTCTTTTGGCCAGATCTATCACCGCTTAAATTATCTGCACTTATTTCTATACTTTTTAAAAATGCTCTAAATTAACTACCATATTATATGCTCACAAAATTGAATTTCTATACAAATTGTCGTTCTCCTTGGAGCCTCCGTGTGTTGTATGAGAGGTGCTACCCTGTATCTCTGATTGCATCATGCTTTTTTAATGATCAATTTTCGTGAAAAACCTGGTAAATCTTCTTTTTTAACTTCTTTTTAGGACATCGAAGAGACGTTCCTCCAGTTCAAGTCCCACAACGAGAGCAAAATATCTTTCAAGTCGGCGCGAACGCCCGCGGTGTTTTTCGCGCTGGCCGTCTTCTTCTACGTCACGTCCGGCCTGTTCGGCCTTTTCGGCCTCTACTCCCTGGCCAACCTGTGCAATTTGGGCATGGCCGTGGCCTTCATCACCCTAATGGTGTGGTCCTACGTCAGGTAATTATACTATTTTTTATGTAATGCGATCGATAATAATTTATGTTGTAATAAAATTAATGAAAGCGTTTAATGTAGATGGATGCAAAGTTCAGCGGGGTTAACGGAATTTGCTTAATGATTGTTTTTCTATACGGGGTGTGTAGATAAATAAGTGTGAATAAAATACATACGGTGGGTAAAAAAAATAAGGAAGGTCTTATTTTGTATTTTAAATTTTACCATAAATCTATTTCGTTGTACGTGGTGTCCCAAATTCGAAAGTTGTCATTTGTATTTATTTCGCGAACTATAACAGACATGAAAGAGGTAAAATTATACCAAGGGCTGGCAAAGGTTAGTCTTGGGTCGAGATTTCCGTATGTAAGAAGAGTACAATGCGTTTATCATTTATATTATTTGTTTATTTATTAACGGGTCGTTGTAATTTTCCCTATAGCTTGTAAATTTTTAAGAACAAGTTAGAAACACTTGCACTTTTGGTAAAAATAAGTGGAATTGAGTTGGTGTTTGACAGTGGTCGCGCTATTAGAACTATGAATTCAAAAATCGATATCTCGAAATCCATTAGAAATAATTGATTGTAGTTTTTTTTTCAAAAACTTTCTTAATATTTCTGCTATATTTTCTGTGCAGGCAGTATGTGAAAATCTATACAGGGTGTTTCAAAACAAATGCGAAAAACTTTATGGGGTGATTCCTTGTTCAAAATAAAGGGTAGTTTGCTTTATAAACGTTGGGTCAAAAGTCAACCATTAGGGAGATATCGCGGTACAAAGATGGCGGGAAAATAATATTTTTATTTTTTATCTTGAAAACGAAAAGAGATAGACTAATGAAATTTTATAGAAGCATTACTGTTATGAAAGCACATTATCTGGTAATATTTTCACTTTTTTAAAATGAGTGGAAGGGGTTGAAATAAACTACCCCTATCATTCTTGTTAACGAAATTTAAAGAAAAATCTTATCAAACACATACAAAAAAACTAATTTGGATAGTTTAGTTTGTTTAGAAACTTTTTTATCTCTTGTGTTTTTTTGATAAAACTCACCGATTTGAAATTAAAAAATAAAATGTAAAGCATTACATGTCAGGACAAAAAACATTTTTAGATTAAGAAGTGATAATAACGATAATAATAATCATCTAGATAATAACGTATTGCAGTAGAGTAATATCAAATAAAATAATATTAGGAACATCCTAAAAAGTAACAGCGGCCGACTAGATTTTTTCCTAAAAAAATTACAGCAGCCCACTAGATTCTTATCAGAAAATGTTTTTGTCCTGACATGTAATGCTTTACATTTTATTTTTTAATTTCAAATCGGTGAGTTTTATCAAAAAAAAAAAATACAAGAGATAAAAAGTTTCTAAACAAACTAAACTATCCAAATTAATTTTTTGCATGTATTTGATAAGATTTTTCTTTAAATTTCGTTAACAAGAATTATAGGGGTAGTTTATTTCAACCCCTTCCACTCATTTTAAAAAAGTGAAAAAATTACCAGAAAGTGTGTCCCTAATGGTTGACTTTTGACCCAACGTTTATGAAGCAAACTACCCTTTATTTTGAACAAGGAATCACCCCCTGAAGTTTTTCGCATTTGTTTTGAAACACCCTGTATAAATAAAAAAGTTACACAATTGCTGAAAATTGCAATGCACTAAAAGTAAATAGATGTTTTTTTTTTAATTTTGAATGGAAAAACAAGCCTATCGATTTTTTCTTATTTAAACATCTTGTAAAAGATCCGAACTTCAAAATAAAAAAAAGTTTCAATATCTAAAGTAGTTCTTGAGTTATGGCGTGTTACGTGTTAAAGAGGAGTTGAGTTTTGAAATTATCGCGATTACTGACGTTTTCTCGTTATAAAAAATAGACACCCTAACGATATCCTTATAATTCCATTTAAGATGCTCAGAAACATCTGATGATTTTATCTAGTTATATTTTCGAAAATAAAAATAAGCGGTTTGCGATCGTGATTTTACTTTACTTGATAGAGCAAGGCGTACCGGAGAAATGTGGCCACGCCGCAACAGCACGCCGTCGCACAGTGGGCAAAAAATCCAGAAGTATGTTGCAAAAATTCTTTTTTTGTTCGATTTTATTCAAATTTGGTAAAAACATTCTATGCCCGTAGGCCGTGAATCCTGTTAGTTTTGGCTGACTTGAGAGTGGTTGGGAGTGGTGGAGGGATTCATAAAATCGAAAACCATCTTTTGACTAATACAGCTACCAAAATGCGGTAAGAATATTTTACATTTCACTAAATTTTACGATTTTTGGCAGAGACAAGATGAAACAGAGAAATATTGAGCAATTATTACTCCTCTGCCATATACAGGGTTTGTTTTATATATTAACATCCTCGGTATCTTTTTTATTCGACGTTTTCGAAAAAAGTGTCTTGAATAAAAGTTTAACGGTCTCGAATACATTTTTCAAAACAGTCTTCTTTGCATGTACAGGGTGCCTTAGAAATCCTGTATGTGGCCCAACTTTCTTATTTCAAATTAGTACCCATTTTTTTATTTGATTTTTATTTTCTCCTAAAAATCCTAACTACTGTTTTGTAGCATAGCCTATACCTAATTTGAAATAAGATAGTTGAACCACGCCCAGACTTTTTGAAGCACTTTGTATATGCGAAATAGACTTTTTTGGCAAATTTATTCAAAACCACTTTCATTTGAGACAGTTTTCGGAAATGTCAAATAAAAAACATAAAGGGGGTGACAATGTATAAAAGAAAACCCTAGTATACTAATCCAATCGAACTTTTATTCAAGATTGTTTGTCATTTGAATAAGTTGGGTTTCTAATAATACCAGGCAATATGTGAACAATATTTTATTATTATATTTTAAATAAGTAATAATATGCTGAGAATTAAACAATGACAATTTAGGAAATAATAGAACTTATACTTATTAAAAATATCTAAATTTTATTTTACCACCTACTATTTACTGATATTTTGTTTTATAACAGCTGGAAGCAATGGTCACGAAGTGCACATTTTTAAATCTGAAAGAAAAATCCATTTCATTTAATTTAAAAAATTAGGTAATAATTTGTCAATTTGTCAAAAAATGTCATTTGGCATTTATGACATACCTCTTCGGAAATCTTGAGAAAAGTTACGTCACTTTATATTTCAAGTTCTTCTCTAGCTCTAGCTACTATAACAATTAATTTATGACAATTATCCACATAAAGGATGTTACTATACACATACGCATGGAGGCTTACGCTTCCAATACATTTAATGTTGCGATTTTTTGCGATTTTTTTGACTTAACTTTTCTAAGATAGAATATATGCCACTATCAAAAAAAACCTTAAATGATTATGTTCTACTTTGACCTTTACCTAGTTTTTATCCAAAAAATCAAAATAAAAGATACTTTTTTACTTACCTTCACATTAAATTTACCCCAACCGGGAATCTACGTAAAACACGTTATGACAATTTTACAATAATTTTTGACAGTAAGCTAAGGTCGCCCATTCAATTGTTCTAATACTGTGTCACTTGAATGCAACGCCTACTATTTAAAAATTGTAGAAAAAGGCAGTTATTGGGCACAAATTAACTGAAAATGTAGGTTTTGCGCAAAGTTCGTTTTACAGCCCCTCGGAAGAGACCTGAATATGTTTTTTTGTTAGTTTTATGTGGTTTCCTCTTAACTAATATGTTTTCAATCTAATGTTATTGCCATAAATGCTAACTGTGGATGTTATTTTTTGCAACTTGGTTTGGACATATTGCCTACTGTGCGTCGCATTTCTCTCACTCCGACTTAATAAGATCCCTATGCGATTTTAGAATTTTTTTTAGAATTTAGAATGAGTGGGAGGGGGGTTAATCACTTCGACCTTACATATCCATTGTGTCCCCCTTTCTTGAATCATAACTCATCATACAGTCCCAGGGCTTTGACAAAAGCCAGTATCTGGGACGGTTTTATAGAGGGTAGTTCTCCATCTCCAATATCAGTCGTACCAAAATTCATGGCACGAATGGTTGTCGTCTCGGCGCACTCAGTGATGAGGTGTACTGGTGTTTCACCATCTTCCCCACAGAATCTGCATTCGCCGTTTCTTCTTAGTTTCAATCTACTGAGGTGTTCATTGATGAGACAGTGTCCTGTTAAAACCCGTGACAATCCGAAGATTGTTCTTACTCAGACCCAGGAAGATCTGTGATTTTTCTTGATCATAAGCCCTCAGAAACTTCTTCGAGTGTCTTAGACCATTGCAAGATTTCCATTCCAGGTTGCGGATGGAATCTTCCAAGTTCTTGAGTTCCGCCTTGAGTTGGTTACCACTTGGAAAGCAGAACGGTTCTGGTCCAGTTAGTGGAGTGTTCGCCCCTTTCCTAGCTAGATTATTTGCTTTTTCATTGCCTTCTATCCCTTGGTGAGCAGGCACCCAGTGTAGGAGGACTTTGTTTTCTTTGCCTAATTTATTCAGCTTCTCTAAGCATTCTTTGACCAATTTCGAATCGATTGATACTGAGTTGATCGCCTTTAACGCTGCTTGACTATCAGATAAGATGGCTATTTCTTGTGTCCGATAGTTCCTATCTAAGATAAGTTGTACGCATCTCTCGATAGCGTAGATTTCTGCCTGTAGGATACTAGGGCCCATTGGTTCGGAGTAATTAGCTCTCGGCCCAAACACTCCGATCCCTGTTCCCGTATTGGATTTGGAAGCATCAGTATACCAAGTTATGGTATGGTCTTTTAACTGATGGGCAAGCGTTTCGCTCTTCCAATCCTTCTTATTGCTCAATACTACATTGACATGTTTGTCAAAGTTGTACGTTCTTGGCATATCGTCCACTGGGAGTTGCAGGAGTGGTATGCGATTTACTTCCACATATGTAAATACCGACCCAAATAAGAGTTGCCAGCACGGTAGAAGGTATTCAGGATAAAAAAATCTGAATATGAATAAAGTTTTTTTTTCATTAATACTAAAATATTTAATGATATGTTATTTTTTTTAATTTCAGATATAGTGGAGAATTAAGAGAAGTGGGGGTAGCGATCGACGAAACTGCCAATTTTATTTGGGAAAATGTAAGTTTATTATTATTTTTGTACTAAACATTAACATAAATTAAAAATTAACTACATACGAAATTGAGGTTGAATAAATGATTAGTTTTTTTTTGTTGTTCCAAAACTAATACCACTAACACAGAGTATTTTCTCGTTTTTGTTTTAGCGGTCCTATTTTAAAAAGCGAAAACTAAGAAAACAGAGTATGTATCAAAAAATAATAATTAATCTGTGCATGCGGCTTTGCAAAAACACTTTTTAGCGTGTATTCTTTCTTATTTAATTTTTTGCAAAATTTAAAATTCGGATAATTTTTGTGGCAGAAATCAACAAATATACAGGTTGTCGCCATATATCATGAAATAAACACTGTATCACATCTGTAAGTGTCCTAATAACATTACATTTCAATCTATACTATATTTTGTACTTATTATATTCAGAAACATCCTGTATATTTGAATATATAATGACAAATGAAACAAAATCGACTTTTTTAATTTCAATGATATTTTTACGCTTGTAATATGAGTGAGACACACTTCGTAATTTTCTTTTTCCTATAAATTTTATCACGTGTATATTAAACACAGCTTATAATCTGGACATCTAAGTTATATATTATTTATTTCTTGGTTCGTGCTTATTTATACTACTTTTATATTGCTTATATTATTTCAAGTTTATTTCTATTTTTTGCATGTTCATTCTGAATATACAGGGTTGTTCATCACATACGACACGGAATATTGTGGCTAAACGATTAGATTTTTACAAATTGTAAGTTTTGGGTTCGTTGAAGAACTATTAGAGCTACAATTTAAAAATATTTTTACAAGATACAGAGTGTCCCAAATATGTAAAAAATATTATGGTTGTATTTTTTTAAATGGAACTCCTGTATATTATTGTATTTTTAGATTCTACGATTAAAATAAAGGTATATTTGATTAAGGTTTATCACACTTAAACTTTACCGTTATTGAAATATTTTCAATTTTATGAAATTGTAGTAAAAATATTAAGGCTTCATTTCTCCAAGGGTATCAAAGTTTTTAATACTGAATATTTACTAAAGATTATTTATTGATCAGATATTATGTTGCAATAATAAAAATTTTACTACCTTATACAGAGTGTCCAAAAATTTGAATTAAATAATTAGTAAAATTTTTTTATTATTGCAACACAATATCTGATCAATAAATAATCTTCAGTAAATATTCAGTTTTAAAAACTCTGATATCCTTGGAGAAATGAAGCCTTTAAATATTTACTGCAATTTCATAAAATTGAAAATATTTCAAAAACGGTAAAGTTTAAGTGTGATAAACCTTAATCAAATTTACCTTTATTTCAATCGTAGAGTCCAAAAATAGAATAATATACAGGGTGTTCCATTTAAAAAAATACAACTATAATATTTTTTACTTATTTGGGACACTCTGTATCTTGTAAAAATATTTTTAAATTGTAGCTCTAATAGTCCTTCGACGAACCCAAAACTTACAATTTGTAAAAAATCTAATAGTTTAGGTACAATACTCCGTGTCGTATGTGGTGAACTACCTTGTATATCGGGCGGTAGATTACTTACAACACAGTATTTTTTTTGCACCGTATTTTAAATTTTATTTAATATTTTATTTTTTCAGTCAGATTTTACGGCCTACGTTTTTTTTTTGGTATTTTTTAACGATGGGAACTATCGAATGAATTAGACTATCGAATGTTTAATGAATGAATGATTTCAACTATCGAACGGTTTTATTCGAATAAAATCATTCATTCATTTGTATACTAAAGCATATGTGACAACCTCGCCGTGCGACTAAATGGTTATCGTTGAGCCACGACTATCGAATGCTTTTGATAAATGAGATTTAGTATTCGTTTGATTTTTGTGTGCGTCAGTGCTTTATTAGTTCTTCCAAATTTTTATAACTTCACCTTATAAATACTGTGCCAATTTTGGGTTTATTAAAATATTTAAAATACTAAAATAGTAGTTTTTTTAATTGCCGATTGTGTGCATGTGCAGGTGTCAAAATTTTTCCGAAAATTTGTGTGATTTTCCGTAGCCCGATCTTTCAATTATTTTATTTTATATGGTATATATGGTCTATTTTTTAATGGGAAATTAATGGGAAAAAAAGTTAACGATGTTTGTATTTTGTTTATGCTAATTCTCTTACATGTAGTTTTTTGCGAAGAAATATTTCATTTATTTTTTAAAGTAAATGCCAGTAAAAGTAAATATAATTTTTAAACAGTAATATAAAGCACCTAATATAAATAATTTTGATTTCTAATTTTTTATTTATATTTTTCTTCCATTACATTGTATGCTTAGAAAATTAATAAATGTTTATATTTCATGATTTTAAAATTTGTTGTTAATATATCAAATTAGTTCTGTAATAATTATTATTATTTAATACACCAAACCAACGTTGCCCCCCAAAAAATTTAGAGACTATATTATTTTTAAATAGGATCTAATATAAATAATTTTGACATCTAATTTGTTGTTTATATTTTGCTACTACTTAAAAAAAATATTTATATTAAATGATTTTAAATTTTGTTGTTAATAGGTATAACAAATTATTACTGTTAGTATTATTTTTATTAAACCAGTCTTTGCTTAAAAACATTAAAAATAATTTTCCTACATCCAAAATAACAAGTATTATTGCAGTGTGACAACAGAATATTAATAAAAAAAAATGCTAAATATATAGACATACTATCCCTAACTAACTAAAGCCAAACAATAATATTCTTTGCTAATATCAACTAATACCAATATATGGCAACAGCGCCCTTCATAATGTACTTTCTGTGTAAATACTAGCACCTCAATAAAAAAAATAATGTGTCCTTATCTTTATATGACTCCGCAAAAAATCAAAGATGCCGGCTTCTTTCATAGCATTGCCACCGACCGCTGTCGGGTTTCTCGGAAGAAACCTTCGTCGCCGGGCGACAACTAAAATCCAGTTAATATTTTATTATAATCGATCCTGACGAATAAATGAATTTCATAAATGAATGAATTTTATAAATGAATGGTTTTGCTGCCGAATTACTAGAATACAATATTTCAAGGCAGATGACGCATCTATTCGATAATTTTTATTCGAATAGTTTTCAACGAATGTTTTTTTACGAACTATCGAATTATTCGAATGAATTGCAACTATCGAATGTTTCGATAGTATTCATTCGATACTTCCCACTACTAGCTATTTTTAATAATCCAGGGTAAATTTTATAAAATAAAATTTTACATCCGTTATATTTTAAACGATAGATTAAACCTGATGTTTATTCTGCTTTATGATTATGTATACAGTACGATCGAAAAATAAAACGGCAGCCAGTTGGCTTCGAATTGTCGAAAGTCATCGATTGTCATTCCCCAGCCTTCTTTGACGCTTTTTTTCGATCGTACGGCATAACGACACACAATAACTGTATGGTTCTCTGCTGAGCATAGGCTGCTTCACGACAATCCACTGTTATTCAGCCAAACGGTGATTACATAATCCTTATTTAGTATTCTGAGGAAATACTACACCATCACCATCTGTATTTATATTAAAAACCACTGAATATCATGGGGTATTTTTCAGCTAATGAAAACCGTCGTCCAAGGTTTCGTCGAGTCCGGTATGCAGCAAATGGCTGTCGAAGTAGCTGAGAGGACGGCCGTCAACGCCACGCGAATGGCCCTCAACGGCAAGAGCAAGTCGTCATGATTCCGACGGCGACAGCGTTGCCGTCCGCCGCTAGCTTCAAGGTCAGCGCCATCTCCACCGTTACATTTTATCATTATTCGAATAACTTGGGCAGCGTCGTGACTAGATTTTCGTGCCACAGACTAGAGATGAAACAATCTTTTCTCGAACTATTAAATTGATGATTCTGTGGTTATTGTTCGGAGAAATTACGGAAATGTTTTCTCTGATCTGTGGTTCCAATGAGACACATTGTATCAAAACGGTTTAAAGCGTTTCTATGAGTACAGCATGCATTTTTCTATTTATTTATTTCTAGTACAAGCTTAATGCATTAACCTATCCTTCCCTCAGTGTGAATACTATTTGTGCTTGCGCAAAACGATTTTAGACGGAATGCCTTAACTTGTAGCGGAATTTTGCGGCGTTGACAAGTTTGATAAAAATATGGGGCATTAAAGATTTTTGATCGAGATAGCATAAAAACCTTGAAATTAATGAAATCGGGACGCGTTAAATTGCTAATTTCGGAACGCACTTCAAAATTTTATAAACAATGTGAACTGATCTCAGACACTCCACAGAACTGAAAAGATAAATAATGATGACGTAACGTTGAACAAACGTTGTACAGACTATACAAATATCCTTAATATAAATAGGATATAGAAAAAATATCTTTTTCAATTCTTGAAAACTGAACTATACAGGGTGTGTTCTACGATGTTCTCTATGGGTATCTCGGAAACTACTGGAGATAGGGAGTCGGTTAAATGGGGAAAGAATTGCAGTTTTGTGAGGACAAACATATGCGCCTTATGGATTTTTGAAAAAGTTCATGGCTGACTAGAATATTTCGAAAAAAAAAACAGATTTCGGCTATTTTAAAAATTGTCCCTAATTCCGTTATAATCTATTTTCGACAAAAAGTTTTCAGATAAAAGTTGTAGATAATCACATCCTTAATGAGATTGTATCGTTCGTTTTTTCTAAAGCCTGTCATTTTTGACATATGACACAAACATATGTTTTTTTTAAATGGAAACCATAGTTGGCTATGACTTCATAAAAAGAGCCATTTTTTAAACTTTTCAGTAATATAGGCTATACTATGTTTTTTTTCTCGAAAAATTACTTAATTAACTTTTATCTGACAACTTTTTGTCTAAAATAGATTATAACGGAATTAGGGACAATTTTTGAAATAGCCGAAATTTGTTTTTTTTTTCGAAATATCTAGTAAGCCATGAACTTTTTCAAAAAGGCGAAAAGCGCATATTTATGATCCCACAAAACTACAATTCTTTCCCCATTTAACCGACTCTCTATCTCCAGTAGTTTCCGAGATACCCATAGAGAACATCGTAGAAAACTCACCCTGTATTATTAAGGTAATTTTTATAGAAAATATTTAGAGATCTTTTACTAATTTTAAATTTTAAGTCCCAACTGATCTATGATAGCAATAATACATTTGAGGTAATTTTGAAGAAAATTTGATTGACATCACCACGTTTCGTTAAACTTAGATCACCCTGTATAGAGTATAATGTCGCTTTTAGACCGTTTTGATAAAAAATATTCATGAATCTATTTCCCATGTCCCCCATTTTGAAAATTTACATCTACATTTTTTTCTCATAGATTTATAAGAAAAGGTGGGGGTATTCTTTTATAGTCATACTTTTATTTTTTTTACTAATACGTGTTATATTATTTTGTTTTGTGACGTCGTATTTATTTATACTTACTTTAATATACCAAATGACACCTGTCAGGAGGTTTGAAGTTTGCCAGTTAATGAATCTTGGCCAGTTATTGCAGGTCTTTTATTAAATAGATCTTTTACCTATAAAATATTATAGTGACTGCCCTGTTTTTTTATGTAAAATGGTATTGGGTTATACTTCTGTTTGATTTTTCATCTCCTTAAATCGGTTTTAAGTTATTTGTAACTAGTTTCACAATATAAAAAATCTCTATACTAAAATATCATTTATTTGTGATTAAACATATATTCTGAACAACGAGAGTATACAAATGACATCGACAGTTCTTGTCTGTCATTTTCACATGTATTTTCTGTAATTTTTTGGATGTCTGTCGAAATCTTCCCGAATTTGTCGGATAGACTATTTACTTACATTTTTACAGTGCCATCTATCTTGTATATTCCATCTACCCCCACCTTTACACTACGTTGGCTTTTTTTAAATTATAAAAATCTATTGGAATTCAAATCATAAAACATTTAAAGTTTTATGATCAAGCTGGGTTTATATGTTTTGACAGGTAAACAATGTATTTCTGCATAAGATGGTCTGTCTGATCATAAAACTTTTTGATCACGCCGTACATAAACGTGGGCAAGCAATTTGAACACATAAGGGAAACAGTTTTTTTCGTGTGTCTTCAATTTCTTAAACACGCTGTACAGGGTGTCCCAAATTCGGGAGCGACTAGTCAGATCTAGGAAACAATATAATATCGCAATTTTATGTCGCTCTATTTGTATGATACCTACTGGTAATCCTCGAATTTGGGACAGCCCGTATAATACAGGCGGTGTACATTTCTAAAATAAAAGAAACTCTCTTAATATAAGGCTCGTTTTTTAATGTGTATAATCAACTTGATTTCAGGAACACAGTCCTCGTTGTACAGCTGTTGTATATACATATATGTAGGTGACTTTAACCATGTTTTTATCCATTATACTTTATGTGATATACATTAGCAATGTTGGTATAATATTAGTTTTTTTTTATTTATTTTTATTATTGTTACTACACACGTTTTTTTAAAAAAAAGGTTATTTGTTATTTTTTATACTACTAAACCACTAACGCAAATAAAACAACACAGATTTTACGTGTAAATTTTTTGTGTTTTTTTCTTTAAATTTGGATTGGACATTTTTTTCAAAATAAATTTTAAAGTGTTGTGATATGATCGCTTCCATTTTGATGCAGTTTATCTTAAGATCGGTTCAAACAGAAAATTTAATTGAATAAAAATAATATTGCTTAGTTATTTTTGGGTAAAAAATTTCAGTATAATATACAGGTTGAGTCAACAATAAAGTTCATTATCTCGTTTATTTTGGGAATTATGAAAAAATGTTACCTACAAAAGTTATAGGGAAGATTAAGATACACGATTTAAAATTATTTTTGAGCATACAGGGTGCTTCGTAAAGTGTGACGGATATAAGATTTTTTTAAATTTTCTTTCGATTCTGAGTGATATTCTATATTTTTTTTGTATATAATGTTACACATCTAAATTTAGTATTTTTTTTTAATTTTTCAATTTAAAAAAAAATGTTAAATTTCAGTATGTTAAAAAATTGTGGTACTATCATTTGTAAAGTGGGAGTACTCAAATTTGGTAGGAACGTTTTATAGAGATGAAGAAAAAGGTATTTGTAAAGATATTTGAGTTTTTACAGGGCGGTCAAAATACATTTATGAATTCCGACTATTTAAAATGATAAAATCTTAATTTTTTTAAACGACACCCTATATATTATTAGTTTTTCTGATATATTTTTAAAACCCTTCAACTTTTATTAAGTATGTTATATACCTATTTTTAATAGTTTGCGATTTTTTATAATTCTACACAAAATCTGCATTTTTGTTATTTTTATTTAATTTTTTTTCTGTTTGAACCAATACTTAACCGAATTTTTTGTCTTGTGAACTGTTTTAGGCCATATATTTGTATGTTTAGCGTTGTTATCGTTCGAGATTTGCCAAAAATGTACCTGATGATTTTTGTTCACTTTTTGTCTTGTCTCACTTTTTTATACCACCAGACTGTTCTAAAAATTTCTATTATATTTTTTATTACATTCTATAGTGCTAAGCATTTTTTAGTTTTTTTTTCGTAAACTTGCACGTTATTTTTGCCAAAACATTATAGTAATTTTTTTATAAAAAACGTTCAACACTGAAAATCATATTTATATTTTGGTTGTTCTCTCATATAATTTTTAACTCTGCATAATTCAGGAAAAAGGTAATTCTATACAACCGAGAAAAAAAAAACGGCGTCAGAGTTGGCTTTGAAATGAATAGTTTGCTGTCACTTTGTAAGTAAAATTATATAGTGAACGTTATTGATTGTCATTTCCAAGCCAACTTGTGTTTTTTATGATTTTCGCTTAGCGAATTTTTCAGAATAGATTCTATATTTATTTTATTTTTTACTTTAATAATTTAATTAGCTTTTTTAATTGTTTCTTTCAGTGCTTGTTTTTTTTTAAATAATTACTAACATTGCAACCATTTTTAACACCTAAGTGCCTTTGAAAATTTTTATATTTCTGTTTGATCAAAAACCAGAAAATTTTCTGTTTAAACCACCCTATATATTTTATACAATTCATGGCAATTTTCAACATTTTTTGAATCACTTATTTGTAAAAAAAATATCACATTTTTTTAGTTTCTTTAGTTCAAAATTGTTTGTTTATATGTATCAAAACGTAACGTATATATAAAATAATAATAGTTAGAAATTATTAGGGCAAGTTTATATTTAACTAACTGTAGAAAAACAGGTGTTAAAGTATGTGTATATTTGTAAATTATAAAAAAATCAAATATTTGTATGTTAAAAAATTATTCTAAGAATATAGATAGGATTTTTTTGGCTAGTTTAAAACAGTTTTTTGTTATGTATTCGTGTTCAATGTTATCGAAGAATTTTTGGTGTTTTAATGCTCAATTATTGTTGTTTTGGTTGAATGTTGCAAAAAAATGTACATATATTTATCTGGTTTTGGTAATAAAAATACTATGTAAGAAGTAATATATTTGTTTTTGTTCTTTGGAACATCCTCAAAAGGAAAATTCCACTACTACAACTCCCAGCGGATGACATACCAAAAATGTAAAACTTTGAGAAACAACTCACTGTAGTATTGAGTAATAAAAAAGCTCCCATCAAAAACATAGGATGTAAAAAACGGCAAGTCTCGCAATTCAATCTCATATAAAACCAAGTCAGTTTTAAGCACGTACCTAACAGTAACCTAACCTAACACCTATTCAACAATTTTGTTATAAATTGTTTGTATCAATATTAAACATTTTTATTTCTGTAATAATTATAACACAGATTATACAGATTATAATCTTTGTTTTTTCTTTATTGTTTTTCGCGGTTCCAATTTTCGGAATCGGGCAATAGTTAGGTGACTAGTTTGCGCACATAGCACGCCCACTTATGGCCTCTAAAATTGTGCACAGTTATTAGAGAGATATTGGAAAACCGAATAGCGTCATCCAGTATTTACGCGTACCTTATCATGGTTACGATATGCGCGCGTCAACGCAACACCCGCTAATAACGTTACCGCCTGACGTAATTTGCGGATCAATTACACCAAGCGCTCTTTCTAAATAACCTCTGATAACGTTTAAAAATTGCTTAAATGGGCATGTCCGGGTATTTGACAACCGGAGCCGGCCGGTGAGATCTTTTATTTTAGGTTATGTTTGAATTGTTTTGAATTATTGCTTTAGTTTTATTAGGTAATTTGATATTTAAGTAGCTGGGATTAGTTTTAATTAAATAAATATGGATTCCACCTCTTCCAATACTAAAGAACCTATAAAGAGTCTTAGGTTTACACCAGATGACGACTTAGCCCTTCTAAGAGAATTTGTTGCTTGTTGCCCTAAACCCACTGGCAGACATTGAACAATAAAGCACTGGAAATAAGCACTTTAGCCCTTTAGTTTTAAAATACCTAGTAAACAAAACAATTTCAAAGTTCTAGGTTAAGTTTAAATAGCGGACGCGACGCGATCAGAATTCTTTCTGATCCGATAACTATAAATGAGGAGAGTTAATACCACCTCACGTAAAGGAAATAACACCTGGCCTTATTAACGTCCATGCACGCTATTCGGTTTAGCGATATCTCTCTATTATGCTGTTTATTGTTACTTTACGCGAGTTTATTTTTGCGCACAGGAAATTTGACTCGTTTGCGCATCGTCATAAAAAACAATTTTCGTAGGTACCACGAATTAGGGACAAGATTTTTATCTGTATACTTATGGGATACCTAATCTGTGAATATAATGACTTGGCAATTGCATACATTCTACATTTTCTCTGGTTAATCCCTTTTTAATATTTCCCTTGTAATCACGTTTATATTTTTTTTATTTTATTTTAATTTGTATTTATTCTAAATTTGAAAAAATAAAACTGACTACGCCACTGGATTGTGCTTAAAAAAAAGTCCCTCACAGAATTTTATTAATCCGCAAAATACAAAAGTTATGGACAATTTTCCAAATGGTAAAAAAATTAAAAAAGGCCCCGTACCTCGGTTGGTTGTGAAAATATCCACAGGCGGTTTACGCCATTAAACGTGTCTCAGAAATCGAGCCCATGACATCTATGTTGGTTTTGCTCTATCTAGTGATGTTAATATTTCAGAAATTTTTGATTGTTGCAGGAAATTTTCGAAACTTTCAGAAACTTTCGGAAATTTATGAAATATTAGGATATTTTACAATTTTACATATTTTTTGTTGATCCAATAAAGGAATAATTTAGATAGACATTTGATACCAACATGTAAGTGAAAAGAAAAACAATAAACATAATATTAGTTGTTATATTTTTAATAAACAATACATAACTCATAAAAGTCATAAACATAACACATTACAAAAATCATTTGGTAACATTTGTACTTTGTACATAAACCATAAACTATGACTATGAACTTAAAAAAAACAAAAAAGCACGAAATATAAATTTAAAAAACGTAAAACACAAATAACTGAATTATTCTATTCCGGAATACTTTCAGCGCTGAGCTTGTCCCATCTTCATAGGGTATTATAGTCAGATATATTTGATGTGTCATCTGGTTCTGATTCTGAAGGATATGGATCTCTACCTCTACGAGTTCTAGTGGTTCTGGAGGAGTTTCATGTTGTTTAATATCATATCCACTTTTTGTTTTTGTAGTAATAATTTATTGTTATGAGCTACGAACATTATTTTGCCGGCTCTTTGTGCAGTTAAGCGATTCCTTTTTTTTAGTATGGATAAAACTGTAAGTACTGAAACTTCTCTCTGTGGCTGCAGATGACGTTGGTAACGACAGCAGAGCAACAGCTAAATTTTTCAACTGAGTATTTTTACACATTAGCTTTTTTCGTTTTCCTGTTATTACCGATTCTGAACCGTCCTAGAATTGTGATGCGTATGCGCAGAAGGAAATATGACGACATTATTTCATTTGCGCATGCGCTGGAGAGTTCTAGGACGATTCAGAATCGATAATAACAGGAAAACGAACAGACCTATTGCTTGCCACCAACATAGACAGTCTACATTTTTAACTGACATCCTAACGTAGTCGAGAGCCCATAAACCCGATGTGGCGCAATAATTTGTTACATCTGTAAAAATGGCTTCTTTATTATTGACAAATTGAGGATGTTTGTTGGTGATATTGTTGATAAATTCCATAGCGGCTGTGTTCTTCATTGTTAAGGTGCTCTCCCAGGAAACAAGGGTCCAAGAGATTCGCGGCAAAATGCACTGGTTTAAGAGCCATACGTTTTCTATTTTGTAAGGCGGAGAAGCATTCTTTTTCTTCTGATTTAAGAATAGACATACTTGATACACTTTCGTTAAATTTTTGCTCAATGTCTTGAATTTTGAAAAGAAATTTATTGCAAAATTCGGATTTTTGCGAATATTCGCGATTTTGGGACCGACTATTTCAGAAATTTCCTGCAAAATTCGTTTGGAAATATTCGCTACCAACATCACTAGCAATATCTAATCAGAAAATAGGTTTTCTCTATTAAAACCGACGAATTTCGACCACCCTGTATAGCTAAAGTATTCTATGGCCATACAGGGTGTCAAAAATCCATGGGAATTTTTTCTTTTATTTTTATCTGTAGTATCACCCACTGAAGTTAATTACACTCTTATTTTGACACCCTGTTTATCCATAAATACAGCATTGTCAAGAAAAAAACTACAGTATGATCGAAAAAAAAACGGCGTCCAGTTGGCTGGGAAATGAACATCAATGACATTTCCCATATAAATTTACATTTAAAATGACAGCGATCTTCATTCCATAGCCATCGCTGACACCGTTTTTTCTCGATCATACGGTATAAGCATAGACATGCTTATAGCTTTTTCTTGACAATTTTACCAATAAAAAAATGTTGAACAAGAAGGTTCTTGTTATAATAAAATTACAATATTAGCATTTTAAAAAATATATTTAGTAGTGAAGGTAGAACTTGTAATAATTAAAAGTGCATTCAAAAATATCACTAGCACTAATAATAATGACAAAAAAAAAATATTAAAAAGTTTGACAATATTATAACTCGTATTTTAAAACAAGATCATCGATTTCCCCTTTGGATTTAGTTCCTTGTTCTCTTAAAAAGGTAATCAGTTTCCATAAACCTAAAATTTTAAACAAAAAAAAAACATTTTTTGACTTAGTATCAATACCACACAATCGAAAAAAAAACGGCGTCAAATACGGCTGGGAAATGATAATCGATGATAATTTTGCCGAGGTCAAGCCCTAGACGACATCCTTTTTTAATCTTTCGATAATTAGTGTTAGTTTTTGACAAGTTTTATGTCAATTTTTAATAAATTACATCTAGAGATTGACCTTACCAAAATTATCAGCGATTGTCATTCGCAGCCTTCTTTGACGCCGTTTTTTTTTCGATCGTAACATTAAAGTAGGTTTTATAAAAAAAAAAATAACTTACGATTTTTATCTGTAGAATCCATGAATATCGTGAAAGTCGAGAATCTCTTAACCTTAGTTAAATTCAACAAATATTCATAAATTTCTTCGTTATTCCTAATAAACTCTGAAGATAATACATCTAGTATACTACTAAAAACACTACTTTCCAGGGATTCCCCCAAAAAACTCGGTATTTTATCCGCATTAATGCACTTCAAGTATTTATACTTGCTCTCGTCACTTTTTATACTTTTCCAAGTATTGTAAAATTGCACTGAATTACTTGGACATGTAAATTCTTCAGAAGTATTTGTTTCTTTGTTTCCTTTAGTTTTCGATAAATTTTCAGTGTTTTTTATGTCTTTTATTGTACTTTCTGTAAACTCTTTTTTCTCTATCACTTTCAAATCGTCCGATTTCAAAATAGACGGAATTTCTTTGGCTCGAGGCCAGGCAGCGTCGTTACTTAATTTTTCGTTTTTTTCATTCTTTATTTGTTCTCTTCCTTTCTTAAAAGCCGACACTTTTATTTCTTTGTCCTCGTTTACATTTAATTTTTGTTCTTTGTGTTCAACAACGTGCTTTTTCAATGGAACCGACTCTATTTCTTTTGATGAAACTGGCAGATTATTAACCTCAGTAATTTCAATGCGTTTTAGCGGTTTTTGTGACTGTAAATGTGGAGGTTTTTTGATAATTTTAACTGGGGTAATATCACAGCCCGGATCTGGCCAAGAACTATCGTTTATTTTCGTTTCATTCGAAATATTGTTAGAAACATTTGTTTTAGATATACTAGAAGTGTTTGATTTGTTTCTAGACGCCGTAAACTTCGATACAGGGCGTTGAGGATCTTTAGCTTCCTAAAAATTAAATTAAAACAGCTCAAATTATAGGAAAATCGATATATGGATGTATTACATGTGCTGCTGTATTGCCAAGTTTCTTTTTAATGTTGGCCAAAGCCGTCAGAGATTCCTTGTTTTTTGGTTCAAAATTCAGAACAAGTTCCAAATCATTTTGTGCCATATCTAGCTTTCCTAAATTTTCTCTGGCTGCTGCTCTCCTTTGTAAAGCTTTTACGTAAGTGTGATCTAATCTAAGTGAAAGTGTACAATCTTCTTCTGCTGCAGAAAAGCTTGAAGAAAGCAATTACACAGATAAACAAATAAAAATAAATAATATATGTTTCATTGCTTACTTCTTAACTTTTAGATGGCAAAGAGCTCGATTGGCATAGAAAACTGGGTCATAAGAATAGCATTTAATAGCCTTTGTGTAACAATCAATGGCCTTCGACCATTCTTGAGATTTAACATATGTATTTCCCTGTAAATAAAAAAAAATAAACTATTTACAGACAGCAGACGTATAAATCTCACTTTTTCCTTATGAACGAGAGCTTCATCTCTAACACTATCTTCGAATTCGTCCGTTAGTTCCGAATCGTCCTTAATATCATCTTCTAGCTGTTCACATTCTAAATCTGCATCGAATTTATCCCATTTCGCATAATCAGTCGGTCCTTTTGGCGGTTTATATTTGGACGATTTTTTTGAAGGTTCAGCTTGAGTTTTAGCTTTCTAATCGAATAAAACAAAATTGAGATCGCGAAATATCGTAATTTTAAAGTCCTACCTTTGATTTATCGTCTTCTTTCTTTAGGGAATCTTCCTTACGTTTCATTTCTTCGCCCCAGCTTTTTAAATCTTTACAGAAATCAGATAAGTCGCTCGCATTGTCTCTGAGTTGTTTTTGAAGAAGAGCGGGATGCATTTTTTTACAGTTTATGAAAATTTTAAAATCATTAAACAAATTTCTTGGTTAAAAATTTGTTTGTTTGTTTAGTGCCAGTGTCAAAAAACATGTCAAAAATGTCACAAAACTGTTGCTACAGCATATATAAATTATTTTATCTTTTTGTCATATATTAATTTGACTGTTTCAGCTACAGATTACACTTTAAAAAGTAAAATCATAACAGATCTTTGGTGGTAATATTAGGTCTGTTATCTATGGTAATATCAAGAATATGATCCAGAAAGTGGCCACATATTTTTTGAGGAGACTTGGAATTTGAGAAATTAAGAACTTAACCCTAATCTCATTTGTCAAAAATCGGTGTTTGTGATTTGTATTTTCATTACTATTTATAACAACAATAACGTTGCTATGTCTAAAAGACTACTTGCTGCTCTTGAATATCCCAACGCGGATAATATAAACTTGGCAGGTTTGTAGAAAGAACATTTTTCGAAACTTGAACTAAAATTTGATGTTATTTGCAGAAGAAAAGACTCTTCGTAATGTAGTGGTTTGGTTGGAACTGAATAAATTCCAACGTGCCAAACAAAGCACGTTAAACGGTTTGAAAAACGTGAGTTCGAAAGATTGGACGATTCATTTTGACGATTACAAGGAATGCTTTGGTTGTCCACCGTTAAGTTCTCAAGTCGAAGAGGTACATTGGTTGCTGGGGCAGGCTATTCAGAACGAAACTAGTAAAAACAGTAAGATATACATCCTTTTTTTGTCTCTAACAGGTTTAGATATTATCTTACATTTTGTAGGAAATGTTTATTTGAAACATGCCGTTGAAAACATAAAAACCTCCAATGTCCCTAGTGTTGTGGCTGAAAATCCATTAGATAAACTTGATTGTAAGTTCAACATTAATAAATATGTATTTTTTTATTTTAATATATGTGTTTATTTAGTTAGATCTACTGAGTTTGGTAATAGAGTGAATCAGTTAGCTAAAACTCTCAAAATAGTACCATATCCTGATCCACTAGTAACACTACAAGCAGTAAGAAAAGTCATATGTACTCGACTAACACCAGACTGTGTTGAACATCCTGATAAGTACATAGTGACTGTAAGTTTGCTCTTTGTGTTTCTAATAAATGATTTATAATTACTTGATGACAATTTATAATTTTTTTAGGGCACTCCATACCCTTTTCAAGATGCCGATCTGGGATTCGACCTGCACGATAAAGTTTTGAATCAGGCAGCGAAGGTTTTAAGAATGCTATACATTCACGACCTGAGGGACTTGCAAACCAAGGCAAATGAACTTATTGTTGCTGTACAAAATGTGACTGCTAATCCTAAAACTGATACCAAGTTGGGTCAGGTGGGAAGATAAGGATCTTTGTGATAAAACATACTTTTGATCTTCTTATTTAATTTTTTATTAATTGTGAGTATAAACTGATACTTGTATTGCTAAATATGCAAAATAAATTATACGTCTTGACTGTGTTGTCGAAAAGGGCTTTTGTCGAAAATTTCTCCTATTCCTAAACAAACTATTCCTGAAAAACAATACTGATCAGCTAGAAAGTACCTATCTAATTTGATTTTGAGATATTTCATACCACTTCCTAAGATTGTAGTAAATATTTTAGCGTTTTGTTTATATTTTCTAGCGGTGTAAATAAGGTAAGTTCCCATACTAGTTAGACAGGATACTGTAATTATTTTACAAGGTAAACATTTCTCATTTACTCTTTGTTTTTCCATAATTTCTATTTATACATGAGAAAATCAAAAATCAAAACATTTATATTGCTATACTTGTTTACTTTTGATGCTGTCATGCTGTCTTTGTCTAATAAAAACCATAGATTATAATTTGATTTCTATCGTTCAAGCCATTTAAGAATAAAGAAGAAAAATTCTATGTCGATCTGTGGTTGTCCATGCTTAGGACCTTGAATTTAGAAAAGAAGAACACTACTTTTATTCTGTGGTGATACCTATATCTTTGGGTTTCCCCTGTTTTAATGTAAATTTCCAACAAATAAAAAACGATCTAAAATGAAAAGAAAAATATCAATAAATAATATATTAAAGAAACCAGTGAGTTTAGGAGATACAAGATAAGTTAACGAAATGTTCACCTATTTTTTGCAAGTCCATCGCTTCACAACTGCCTCTCATCTTCAAATTATTGCAAAAAGGAACATGCAACATAGTTTCAACCTGAAATATTAAATAAATATTAGATTTTTGAAAAGTTTAATAATATACCCATATAAAATCTTAAGAAAAGGTAACAATAAGAGGTTAAAAAAAATAATATAAAGTAATAATTGCTGTTCTCACCGTAGCGAGTAGCTATTTCAAACACCAAAATAATTTGGCAGCTGCTTCTAATATCTTAAAGTTTTATCTCCTACTCCTATCCGTGCCCATATATTTATTTCTTTTTTCCATTTTTCAAGATTTTCTTGACTTTATGGTGAAGGAAGATATAATTGGATTCAGATTTCCGATACATATTCCGTAGAAGTTTGATACAAAAAGTTGACGGAAGATTTCTTCTAGCGTTGCTGTTAACAGCTTTGGGGATATTGTGTCTCCCTATATCTTACCTGTAGTTTATAGCACTATATATTTTTAACACTAATTTTTTTTTCACACTCAAAATCTGTCTGATATCTTCACAACACTAAACACTACCCTCCCAAAAATTCCACTTTTTCCTCCTGAAAAAAAAGGATATGCAACAACCAATCCACGATACCTACAGTGCAGCTCATACAGAGAACGTTAGTCCCTGAAGAGCTTGAAGCTGAAAAAATTGAAACACTGAACATGAGCCAATGTGAACCTGTAAGACATTCAGATAACCTTACTCAAAATGACCCTGCTGTGGTTCCTTGGGGACTCATACAAAGACTGATAGTACTAGAGCATCTTGAACTACTGCTCTAAAAAAATAGGAGCAACAAAAGAGTCTCATATATACATAGAAATTGTGTAGACTTCAATTTGGCTTCGACATGACTCTCTAACCTGTTGCATACAGCTAGCTCAAACATAGTAGATGTTCAATCAACGTAAATCTGTAAGATACAAGAAGAACCATACAATAATCTCCTGGAGGCGTTGAATCAAGTAGGCTGCAGTAGTTCCCGGGAAGCCTGGTACTTATGGATCATTATATTCCCATTCTTGCTTCAAACGTAGTAGAACTTCAACCCATGTGAACCTATGAAATACAAGAACCCCACAAAAATATTCTGCAGGCATCGACTCAAACTGGCTGCTGTGGTTTCCTATAAGGCTCATACCAATACCTGTAAAAAATAGTAACAAAAAAAGACTACCATATACATAGAGATTGTGTAGACCTCAATTTGGCTCGGACATGACTCTGACCTGTTGTATACAGCTTCAAATAAAGTATATCTTCAACCAGCGCGAACCTATAAGACACAAAAACCCTACAAAAATCATCTGAAGATGTTGACTCAAACTGGAAGCTCATAGAGGCTATCAGTCTTTGTAGAGCGCCAAGACCTACTCGTGTAAGAAAATAAACCAGACTTAGATATGACCCTGTTAAGTTTTGGACCTCAAAAATTTAAACTTGAACTAATGATGACCTCAAAAAGTCCTACAAATTTCTACTGCACTATTAAAAAACTCGATTCCTTTTTTCTAGGCCCTAGAATCATACCTGAACTTAAATTAAAAATTCAAAAATAAGTTTAAAACGACTATTTGTATTGAAAATTTAGTTATTGAAATGCTTAGATATTGGCAGGCGTTTACACTAAAGTAGAATAAGTAAAAGAAAGTGAGTTAAAAAATTAGGAAGTTATAAAGAGTTACCTACACCTACACGTTGAATTTAAGAAAATAAAAATATCTGCTAGACATTCTCTAGATTTCAATTTGATTAAGATAATATGAAGAATGATATTAATTATATAGTTAAAAGTTTTTTTTTTTAAATAGTTTAAATTAGAGAGAGAATGTAATCCCAAATAACTTTAAAAAGAAAACACTAAAACAATAAAAGACTTGGAATCCTCATTATCTTAGCACCCTCGATTCAACATTACAGAGAATAGAATAGGATGATTATTTAAATTTAGTTTAAAATTACAGAAAATTCTAATACTAATAGTGACCTAGAACGTCATAAAAATCTCTACTACACAACTTAAAAAACTTGATTCCCTTTTTTTGGGGCCTAGAATTATATCTGAACTTGAATTGGAAATATACAAATAGATTTAGAAAATTTGACTATTTGTATTAAATATTTAGTTATCGAAATGCTAGTTTACTCTAAAATAGTAATAATTAAATAAAAATGAGTTAAAAAATTAAGAAGTTAAAGAAAATTAATTCCCTACACCTACATGTTTAATTTAAGAAAATAAAAATAACTGTTAGAGATTTTCTAGATTTTAATTTGACTGAGATAATATGAACAGATGAGCTATAAAAACATCAAATACATTCTTAAGAAAAACCTATAAACATAACAACCCAATAAAAAGACCGATAGACATAACAGCCCAATAAAAAGACCGATAGACATAACAACCCAATAAAAAGACCGATGACATAACAACCCAATAAAAAGACCGATAGACATAACAACCCACTAAAAAGACCGATAGACATAACAACCCAATAAAAAGGCCGATAGACATAACAACCCAATAAAAAGACCGATAGACATAACAAACCAATAAAAAGACCGATAGACATAACAACCCACTAAAAAGACCGATAGACATAACAACCCAATAAAAAAACCAATAGACATAACAACCCAATAAAAAGACCGATAGACATAACAACCCAATAAAAAGACCGATAGACATAACAACCCAATAAAAAGACCGATAGACATAACAACCCAATAAAAAGACCGATAGACATAACAACCCAATAAAAAGACCGATAGACATAACAACCCAATAAAAAGACCGATAGACATAACAACCCAATAAAAAGGCCGATAGACATAACAACCCAATAAAAAGACCGATAGACATAACAACCCAATGGACCTCTGCTGCTTTCGAGAGGAAAGCATGTTCTTTGCTTCTGTGAGGAGCCTCCACAGAGGACGTTAGCCCCTGCGGATCTCAACCCAACGTGCTTCTGCGAGGACGCTCATACAGGGGACTTTAGCCCCGGTAGAGGTCGACTCGACACTCTGCTTCGCTTCTGTGAGGGGCCCCACAGGTGACTTTAGCTCCTGCAGGACCGCGCTCACGCCATCTCCGGGAAAATAAACGAACAACCAAATAAATCAGGAAATAATTTAAAAAAAAACTTACGTTTTTTGCAGAGCACCCCCCATGATGTGCATTTCTTGTACAGAAAATATACGCTCACTAACCTGAAACAACAGAAAAAATACGTTAGTTGAAAATAATAAAAAAAAGAAATAAATCTTATAACATACCTGATTTTATCTCGTTCCATGCTCTCCATCCTACTGTCCTTTTCCAGAAGATCTTCGTTCCAGACCTGCACCAATCGTCGTGCCTCCTCAGAAACAGCCTTAAGGACAAGAGTACCTTAAGGCAACAGTTAGTGAAGAAGGTACTACGACTGAGACCTTGCACATCGGACATCTCAAGGCAACAAAAATTATAGATTTACGGTAACAAGAAAGATTTAAGGTGCCTTTAATGAGATAAATCTATATCGAGAACTTTAGAGATTGAATAATAATAAATGAGGAAAATATGAGTTCATTTTACTTTATTCGAAAATACAATTAATGTTGTGCAAAATGCATTATTTTAAAATTATCAAATTTAAGTTTTATTATATTAAACATGAACAAAATTAAAAATATTTTGAATGGTTTTAGTATAAACGTACAAGTTTATTTCACACTTTTTTTTAATTATAAATGCAATTAGAGAATAATTAAAAAAATAGTAAAATGATGATAGAAAAAATAAGATTTAATCCTATGACAATGTCCTACAGAAAACTATTACAGAGACTGGAATAGAGTGATTATTGTTTGAAATTTAGTTTAAAATTACAGAAAATAAAAATTATGTCCTCTAGATTTTTTGAAAAGAACCTAATCCCAAATAACGCTAAAAAGAGAACATTAAAACAATAGAATACTTGGAATCTCCATGGCCTTAGCACTCTCGATTCAACATTACAGAGACTAGAATAGAGTGATTAAATTTAGTCTAAAATTACAGAACATAAAAATGATATCCTTTAGGATTTTTAGAAAGAATCTAATCCCAAATAACACCAAAATAAGAAAGGCTGTGAACCTCAATTACCTTAGTACTCCCCATTCAACACTACCGAGACTAAATAAAAATATAAAAAGAATAATTTTTGTTATAAAAATACTTGAAAAAAAGAAAATGGTTAATTGAAGATCCGATTTCCTGGCACACGTTCCATTAAACTTTGAGCAAAAAAAAATGTTTTTCAATAAGAAATTAAACATAACAGAGTAAAAGTCAAATTGGGTTTAAATTATTTTAAGAAGATAGACAACTCGAAAAAAAATTAAAGATATTATTTCTTGTGATTTTTACAAACGACAAGAAATACAAAGGATTATATATACGATTCGAATCAAAGAAAGAAAAAATGTGACCTTAAAATGCTGTGAAAAGCCTTAGAACAGCACCAGAACCACGAACCGACGCGACCGCTATAATAATGCTTTAGAAATGGTTCTTCTACATTTCCTCTTCATCCGCCTACTGAAACAACGATAAAAAAAAAATCAGTAAAGATGCCCGCGTCCAGAAAGTCCAAATAAATTCAACTCACCTCCATT